TATATGTGCTTTTGATATTTGTTGTCCTATTATGACTTTCAGCTTCTTTTATAATGTATCATCATTATTAGCACATAAAGCACTGCACTTCTGCAGTACTAATGACTCGTTATAACAATCATGTTCAGTCAGATTGGGCCAGCAATCGAGTGTCCGACCGATTGGAAGCGAACACATAGAAGCTTCGCTCGTCCGAGAAATAAAATAATCTAATTTGATCAATGGCATGTTATAATCAAAACACGTGCATTTCTAACGCAGTGTGGTCAGCAGACCATATAGCAAGTATTATAAATTTATCTATATACAAGAATATACAATAAACGGGTTTCTGTATTTCACGGTTAATGCCGACAACTTTTGCTGCAATTCTGGTGTTGCCCGTGTTCTTCTTTGGTAATCTGGCTAGTGCCTTGGGATAACCAGTTGGGTCTAATATAGCTTAATTGGAACAGGGAAATTTCCGTTGAAACAAAAAAGGGCACTCGACGCCTTTGCACAACTGTAACAAATAGCTAACACCATTTAGATATATAAATAGATTTACGGTTATAAATTACTGTATTTTATGAACAATTTAGGTATTAATAAGGCTTTTGTACCAAGCTTAAGTGGATGCTTTCAACACATGGCCGTACGTCTGCATAGCCGAAAAGACTGTAACAGAGCTATATTTGTATATACCTATATGACCACTAGACAAATCTTCGGAAAAAAATTGACTATAATTTTTGTTCGCACTGAAGCTTCTTTCCAGGCCAACAATCAGCTGAGTGGGTCTCCAGTTTTCGCGCTGTGTAACACGTCACAAACTTAAACATAACCACTCGAAATCCGGAAAGGGGAATCTGTGCCGTATTCATACTGTGATAAACAATTATATTAAAAATTGTTATCCAGAGAGGAAAAATTAAAACATGCGGTGGTTCCACCAGATCATGGTGGCGGTGTGTTTAACGCACCAGATTCATGCAATCACCTTTTACTTAAAACCAAACTCCAAGAGGTGCATCAGAGAAGAAGTTTTGAAGGGTGTATTGGTTTCAGGCGAATACACTCTATCGGATTCACCGGGACACAAAACAGATCTATCGGTGAGTTGATACGATTATTCACATAACTCATCCCATTTGCATTTAACAACTTCATAGGTACTTCAATTACGATAATCGAACACAAATGGAGAGGTTTCCCTTTGCTGCTTATGTCCAAACTGCAATCCACAGAAGGTGTCACGGTTTTAATATAATACTAAAAAAAATAGGATATCTATATCAAATTTAGATGCCGTTAAGTCAGGAGTTGTACTTGAATATACACTAGGCAATTAAAATAGCATTCGAAATGGAGGATTATGGGGCTTTTAGGAAACTGCGTCTTACTGTTTAGACAGAGATCAACAATTCGCAAATAGCACTTTAACACCGTATGGTGTCTTTCTTCTCGGCTTGTTAGCCTATTAGTGTAACAGCTCCTTTGTTTCTATTATAACACAAATAAAATACAATAAAAACGTATTGATTCATAAGCCAACGGTGTAAGGGTTAGGCCAGACCATGACTGCTTACATTGCATTTTTACGCAGCTTTGCAGCAACCCAAAATCAGCCCTTTCACAAATGTAAACAAATTAACTAATAACAGGCGTTGATCATCGTGCGTCCCAAGAGTTATCGACACTTCTTCGTATGATAAAATATTTGCCAGGCCCACTGTGACCAAAATGCAGACATTTTGTTATCACGTTCTATATTTAATCACTTCATATAATCTAATCAATTCATAGAATTAGTTGAATGAATTCAGTTGTAACCAAAGAGGAAGGATTAAGTTGCACCATTACAACAATGATGTGGACAAATAGATAACTAAATGATTAGAATTTCATCGACAGGAAACCAGCGCTAACCTTAATCAAATTAATCACTCGTCTTCAGTGTCGTGTTTGTAAAGTAGAAAGAATAATTTCTGTACACTATAATAATTTAGTCTTTGGTATAGCCGCTTTTGACTTAAACCACTACTGAGTGAACGAAACTGGACGAGGAGTTCACACGGATTTGTCACTTGTCGTTCTTTGGAGATTGCTGAAGATGCGATCTGCAGGATTACTGAAGTATTTTTATAGCATCAATGTTTGCCCCCAATACGTTGCATGACAGTCTTAGTTCCAGTCGATCATATGTATGTACATTTACTTTATGTATAGAGCTTACAATAGTATCAAGAACGTTTTCCACTTTTCTTTCGAGCTTTCAAAGGGAAGGTACCGTGATGAGGTAATTTTGCACCGTCTCGACTTAATTCTCTCTCACCATTGTTTATGCCTACGTATCGACTCAAAATATATTTACCGATGATCCGACGAAAGCTTACGCCGCTGGTCTCTGAAAACGTTGATTGAGATCACCGTTAAGATGAAGTCTGTGAACTTTGTTCTGCCGAAAACATTACCCACTAATTCTGAATGCCTCTTATACTTCACTATAACAATACAGCTCTTTACAAGAAGACGTAGTATAGCAGATGGTTTGTTCCACTGAGGATCTTATAGGACACAGATTGCTTTGGTTAATTTACTTATTACAAAATGTCTCTGCTTGCTTGCTGTACCCTCAAAGTGAATACCTAGAGTTTCTTGTGGGCTACTGCCACAGTTATCAATTGTTTGTCAGTGTGGTGCAAAGTAATTTGTTGCCGACTAATTTCTTTTTAGGTGACGGATACGAACGGCCATATCCTGTCACATCGCGAAAACATTCATGGCGACAAGGGGAAGTTTGCGTTCACCACAGACGCTTATGACGTCTTCGAGGTGCGTTTAACGCTCATTTGAAGTGCTGATTTTTTTTAATATACGAACGAACATAGGTTGTTTTACTTTTTAGGGTATCATGACACCTTTGGAAAATTATCACAGCGCCCTGATAATCGATAAACTACTGATATTGGCATGTCTTGGGATCTTCGAATAGGTATGTTTCACAACAAAGCTCCCGCCCGGCGTTCAGGGCCAAGACCGCGAGATTCAACTGATTCTGAAGCACGGATCTGAGGCTGTAAACTATGAAAAGGTCGCAGAAGTTGAAAAACTCAAACCCCTTGAGTTAAAACTGCAACAGCTAGAGGATTTGAGCGAAAACATCGTGAAAGGTGGGCTCTGTGTTAACAGCACCGAATCTCTCTTGCACAAAGACGAATCTTTTTCGTCCAAGCGTCTTCATCATTGCATAAGGCGTACATTTCGGCATGTTTTAAGAATGCGTATCTTGTGATGCCTGTGTTATGTCAAGGTACATATGCATATTAAAAACAGCGTTCAGATAACAAAAATCTTCTGTGGTAATTTTTTTTACAATATTGTTGTGCGACTATAAACTGAAGACGATTATCGTTTTTCTAACGTTCATATGAATCCTTTACTCTGTATTCGCATATGTTACAGACTTTTCGCACATGCGCCGGCGGGAAGCAGAAATGCGCGACACGAACGAGTCAACGTCGAATCGAGTCCTCTACTCATCCATTTTGGGCATGTGCTGTCTCCTGGGCCTTGTTGGTTGGCAAATCATTTATCTTCGAAGGTACGCCTTGGATTCTCAGATTATACAAGCTATGCCCACCATACTAGCACAGGATGTATAATATATGTACCGGCGTGTATGTATATTCATCTAGCTATACTTCGGCCTGTGGCAGCATGCAATATTTTTTCATTAAAAAAAAATTAAAGATTTTATTCATTAATGAACTGTAGGGTCCATAAGGAACAAGCCTAATTGTATCCTTGTTAAATGTGTTCAGTTCATATCAAAAAAGCAAGACTTTTTCGATATCTGCATTGTCGTATGCACTGCACATGTAGATACTTTTCCATTGGCACTGAAATTGCACCAGATACGGTTTTGGCGCAGAGTCGAAATGTCACCAATGAAGCACGTATTTTTTCACGCCCGTATCTTTTTTTTTAGCTCTTCTTTTCTATATTAATCAATGCCATGCTTCTTCTCGTTTTCCTGACTGTTTATAGGTACTTCAAGTCAAAGAAGCTCATCGACTAAACAGCGCTTAGAGAATTCCAGTTTTCGTATCTGAGAAACATCAAAACTCTCTCTGTCTGGAACCATTGTTGCTTCGACAATTTGCAGTACTCTCTTCGTCAACGCAAGCATTCAAACATTAACTAGAGAAAGTGAACTTCGAGGTGAACAGTGTTCCGTTTAGCAACTACCTAAGTTGATGTACTTTTACTTATCTTATTATGCGCCAGAATATAATTCGAAGTATTGCAAACAACTTCTTCCCCCTTTTTTATATACGTTTTCGTAAATAACTAAGTTGAATCCCATCAGCAATACTGATCCATCGATTAAAACCGTACGGCATCGATGGGAATCTATGATGTGACTTCTGGTTGCGTTTTTATTTGCTTGTTCGTGTTGATTCTTTCGCCGTGTGACAGGTATTTGCAAATTTCAATTTAATTCGAAAAGCTCGACCAGTTTGCACTGCGTGTCCTTTAGGAAAATTTTTTTTTGCTATAGGCTTCTTACTTTTAAAAAGTGAACTTCTTAGAGGAATGCGATCGAGAACAAAACCCAGCGAGAAAGGTGAATGTACACAGTAGTAAATAGCCAGAAAAAGTGATACGGAAACAGCCTTCAGGAGCCCTACAGCTATGACGAATTGTCTTTGCCATTTTAGGCTTTGACCTTACCCGCAAATACCTATGGATTTTCAGTTTCTATGTTCTATTATCTTCGAACGCAATGCTTTTACATTTCTGTTCTGCTACAGATCATTACTGCGGCATATATTGGAATACGAACGCGCTCTGCTGAAATCTTAGGGCAAAATCGACGTATCAAGTAATTCACTGGCAATGTGCAAAAAGTAATAAATGGGACATTTAGTGTCAGTAGTGGGATGATAATTAGTAAAATGATAAACAATAATATAATGCCAATATTTACTTTGTAGCAGGAATTAGACTTTGGTAATAGGATTTATTTCACAAAATGAAATTTTTATATATGGGAAAGTGGCAAGATGAAAACGAAATAAGGACCTATTGAAATATACTAATTACCTTGCGATATAACGAAATGGTGTGGTTAATGAAAAATTTGTTGATCAGATATCGTGTGTATAATTGTATGTCGAGATAAGTGCGAAACGAAGTGGATGTGCAACATATATAAAGTGAATGTGAGATGTGTGTTAGATCGAGCTTCTTCAGATTAGGGGACTATTTAGATACATTAGGAACGTCAACTAATAACGGTAGAGAAGCAGTCTTAATGAAATAAAAGGAAAACGAAAGCAGTGTTGGAAAATGTGCACGATCTGGTATTTTGATAAGAAGATAATTACTAGAGAGACTGAACAAAAGACATCAGGCCGTCTAGTAGACGTTTGTAGATGTTGGTTAATGGTCCTAATGAACCTTTTGTTATAATGACATCGCTCATCGCTTTCGTGTGCATCTGATTAATTTACTCTAAATATACCAAGAGTTTATTACACTTGGATATATTGTTGTGTCAAATTTTGCGTGATATCAAGTTTTCTATGCACTCCTAAGTCGCCTGGAAAAATCTAAACACTGTTTCAATAGGAACAAAGCAGAACTCCAAAGTTTGACTATACTTTTTAATTCCCTGCGGCACATAATGAACTGCTGACAGAAAGTATTGTCAAAAGTCCCAATATGTTTTTTTTTCTGAAGACGGGCCCCTTTATACAGTTTTTGAAAAAATTAAATTTTGCCATGTGTTCTGCGGTCAATTCCCGATACGAAAAGAGCGGACACGAGAACGACCATTTACACAGACTTGGTTCCGCCTGTTGCACCCATAATGTGTGCTGTCGTGGCTGTAAAAGATGCTCGCCGTTTAAAAGTAAGCGTCAAACGAGCTATGTATCCATAAAGATTTTGGGCACGATTGCTCTCTGATCTAATCTTGCAAGGAATAATGTCCAAAGAGCGCGCTGAGTTAACTCTGCTAATGCGTATCATAAAAAGGCACTGAAAATAGAAACAAGATAAGGCACATGGATAAAAAGGACAAATTAGGCTAATTCGTTTTTAAAACACTATTCCTTGTTGCTCCTACCGTCTTTATACGACCTGTAGGCCAATCCTAACAGCAAAACCTTACCTAGAGACGGCATCGAAGAGATGATGACTAGAACAGATGTCATATACACTAGGAAAAGAAAACAAATGATATGTGTGAGTAGAATCAATAAAAATTCGAATGAAAAACACATTTTCTGGCTTTTTGTTTCGCCCTGTAGTTAAAGAAGCCATCAATAATTTTTTCTCACAGATGTCTCGAACTCACAAGAAAGGTTAGGAGGAGTTCTTCATTCTAAACAGTGTATCCTATATCTATTTAAGAAGCTCCTTCTGCATTAAGAAAATGTTTCAGTGCTGGTACGTTTAAAATACTGATACAGTATATTCTACTTGGTTGCTATACACGAGTATATAAAGCATGTTCATTGCTTGAGATGAGAATATCTAAATATATTTCATATGTGCAACGAGCCAACAATAGAAACAATTCTTCGAACGCATCTTGTCTTTAAAATGGTGTTTTTTGATCAAGCTGAACCTACACAGAAAATCATCAGAATAATTAACGATATTTTTTTAAATGTTTGGAGAATACGTACATATTTGTTCGGCTCGTTTTAGGCAAGACGATTAATATAACATCAGGGTTCTTTACCGACGTGATAACTACAATGAAATTCACCAGAAAGGCCACCCCTTTAACAAACTTGAGCAAATGAATTTTCGCCCATGTAAGATAAGTTTCGATGCGCAACCACCGCTGCATTACTCTGTGGCGCGGCACACGAAGCTCCTGTAAGCAGCAGATCGCATGCTCTAACTAACAGGAAGCCGTTCGCCACATCGCAATTTATACGTAGTACCGAAACCAAGTGGTTGTTGTCACGCAACATTGTAACGATGATGCGAAATGAGGCAGCCGCGTCCACTGACGCTGGAGGAAATTATATGTAGTGAGGCTTGTGCTAGACGTGTAATAGGTCCTCGGAATATGTTTTCGGTGTATTTAAACATGAAAACGCGTTTTTCAGGCTAACGGTGTTCGATGTAGGGTTTTCTCGACAGCCCACGCTTACTTAGCTGGCTCGCGCCATACGACTGAGTCCTGTGGCGGCGCATGGACTTGAGCCAGGCAGATTGAAAATATGCGAATTTTTTAGGCATCTACGTGTCATGCCTTACGACTACCTATACTAGCACATAGTGGAGACTCTTAACAATTACATTTCTGCTCTACTTGTATACTTTGCTGATACTGTATAATTCCACCTACATATAAAAACAGACATTTTTTTTCTTATAAAAATGTTATTTTTTTGAATAAGTGAGATAGTAGCGTCGCAGTTAATTTATTCATTGGAAGCCGACAATGTTGTACGACTATCATTCATAGCCGTTGCTAAATCAAGAAGGCATATATAAATAGTGAATCCTACTTTTCGCATTGAGAACTTCATCGGCCGACTAAAATTCTAAAAAGTGTTTACTAACGAATATAGCAGGGTCCACAAATGTCAAGGGCTCTGTGATGAGGCTCTTTCGAGACCAAGTAATATTTTTATGCTCAGCAACCTGTATATAAATGTCGTCCAAACGATCGTATTCAATGAAATCAACAAAAGAATCCAGTATCTCAATAGTAGTTTTTCATTGCTAAGGTGAGTTCGAACTTCATATATCAGTAGTCTCTTATGATACCTGATCTTAAAAGCCAAGCAGAACAAGTTGACATAAAAAATAAAACATAAAAAAATGAGTTATCAATCTAACTCATGAAATTCTCAAAAATGTACAAAAAAATCATTTTTACATGGAATCGTTTCCGTATTCGCCTTTTTGAATCATAAAAACGAAGAGTGCAATTTCAATTAGTTACTTCTATTAGAAACGCGAAAGCCTTTAATGTGCGTTTATATATAGCTATTACATTTCGTTTGTTCCATTAATCAAATTCATAAAAAGCCGCGGTTTTTACAGTTACGTCGACCTGTATTTATCGTCGGAGTGTCTGATTATCCGGCCATATCTCTCTTTTTCCCGTATGTAGTTTACTTGGTCCATTGAAGCTTCTATTAACATAATCCAGTGTCTCTTGCTTAGGTTCCATCTACTATTAGGAACAGAGGGTAGAAGTCCGCAATAAGACACATTCAGTGATATATTTACCGATTCAGATGAGTCAGTTTCTTCAGATCTGTCTGTCCTCACAGCCGCCACTATCGTTATTGACAAAGAGTAAACATTCAAGCGTAAAAGGAGGTGTACCTAAAATACATAATCTTTTCTTTGCAACACTTAACCAATGTAATAATAATAGCAAAATACTAACCAAACAGTATAGACACGTCACTGTCTCTCCCAATTAAGTTTCCTTGATTACTTTAGCACAACAATATTGATGCATGTTGTATGTGTATATATATACACATATAGAGATGAATAGATAATGTACAACTTCAATTAGTCTATAATGTAAATTGTCAAATAATTGTATATTTAATATCACCTATGTGACATACTTTGTAATACCCTGATATAACTTACATAAGGAAAAAATAAGTGTATGTTTATAACTAACAAACGCCTCCTTGCAACAAGGAACTTTAATTTTTCTGCGTTCAGTTTCTAAAACCTGACTGACACACTCTCAGTGAATCTAAGTTCTGGATTGATCTGAGTAAGCAGCAGTAGCAGTAATACAATGCATTGCGCAAGGAGTAGGATGCCCTTGGGGTCAAGCTTGGCTGACCTCATTATACAGTATTACTAAGGCAAAATATTATTTCTATTCGAGTAATGCTGAACGTTATCTGGTTATTTTCATTTGTGACAAATGTGGCGTCTTTTTTATAGTTGCGTCGGTGGGGATATTAATATCGATAAATTAAGTGCAACTAAGTCTAGTACACAAAAATGCTGCCGCCATTACATACTTTGGAAGTTTTCATTGTAGTTAATAAACAAAATCACGAAAAGTTATGTCGAGGAATATTATCGAGCCGGTCACATATTTGTGCAAGCCACTATCTCTGTAAGCTTAGTTCGGGCGTCTTAAGCTAAACACCAGTGAAGTAACGGGAATCTGGCAAGCGTTACCCCACTGACCGACATCAGACATCATAAACAGGCAATCAAGTGCGTGTGTTAATTCACGCTTTTGGATCTCAAAGGCAACACTGAAGGCTGAAAGACATTTAAACATATTTAGTCTCGGATACTCCAGCAACCACTCGACGTGGTCGTTTGTAAGAATTATAACTTAGACACATTTCTCATCGTTTGATAGACTAACGGCACTTTCTGGTACCCGTAAATTAAAAAAAAACAGTGTGTAGAATACGATTATAGTGAATAAAACTCAGTCATTCGCCCACTTTGCACTACTAAATTTAGGTATAAAACGAACTAACCAACAAGACCAACCTCTATAAAGTTGTACAAAGGCAAGTATATAATATTCGTCACCTAAAACCGACAGGAAATGGCAAGTTTGACAAAGGATCATTTCGAAACTTCAAAAGTTCGTCTTTGCTCTGAGTCTTTCAAAAGCCAAAAACCCAACGCGTCACTCATCACAGTCAACGCGAGTTTTTGCTGACACAGTTTCAAATTCAGGACAAATTGATTAAGACTCGGAGTTAACGTTGTCTTTTAAGCTTGAATGATCTTTTTATGCTTTTCACTTAGTTCATGTCATTATTAACAGGTCGGCCGGCCATAGCCTTCCAAACCCATAACCTCAACCTAACCGGCAATCAGTTTATCCAAAAATGATTCTATAAAAATGAAAGCAATGAAATCCAGTAATAGACATGATATGTGTCATTCCAATGAAATCATCATCGAATCACACTGTACCGTGTATGACCTAAAACAGAGGGTTAAACATTTGATATGTCTGGATTATACTGGATAAACAATTTCCTACAATGTCAACCATAGGCCATTGTAATCAAGCTATTGTTGCTACGCGTAACTAAATCCTGGCAGTCGTTGCGTCATCGCTATGGCGAGAATGTAGAACATGCTAAAGTAGGTATTAAGTCGCGCTGTGTGTTTGTCCAGTTCAGCATGTACCCCGAACCGACATTCGCGTTCGAGCTGAAACGCGCTTGGCAGTGTGATTAACGGAAGCAACATTGCTGGTACTCCGCGACTAAACGCAACAACTGCAAAGCTGTACAATACAGAAAAATAAATATAACGAGTTAGACGAGTCAACGGATTGGTTTTCGGTAGCAATGCCAACGGCGGTTTCGTCTGGTGAGGCTTTGCGTCAACCTTAATTCGCATATGGAGGACTTGTTGAGAAATACAGAAGAGCGCAGTTGTACGTTCAAACTAATAAAGTTGATGTTACCAAAAACAAGATATGCTAATAAATCGTTGTCAACGCATCAACGAAATTCCGAATACGTTACCTCATGTACGGTACAAATAAAAGCAAGGCGTAGAGAACGTGCGAAAGTTGAGGTCCAATTTGAACTGCGAGTGTCATAACTCCAGCTCTCTGATCTTGAACGCGGTCTCGAACATTATTAGCGTGGACGATCGCCTCACTATTTAGGGCTAACGGTGCGGCGTACAGCAGAACAGACAATAAATCCCGAGGTGTGAACGATGTCGCCTTATGGGCCCGTCAAATATCACATAAATACACACGTAAGCATTCATCAGTGATTCTATGTAATCTAGGGGAAGGATCATAGCATCTCCGGCACTACCTACTAGATAGCACCCATTCTAACAAAGAATATTGACTTTTTTTTATCCTCACAGTGTTCATTGTATACGCATAGCAAAAAGCTTACTTGACAGAGAAATGAATAGAGCACGCTGAGAGGGCCAAATGTTAACATTACGACGACATCCCCAAGACCAATGTACTTTAATCCGTATGGTCCTGCTGTGTATAGGAACGAGCAACACATCCCACCGAAGAAGACGAAAGCTAAGAGACGACCGTCAACCGATACAGTATATTCAGCTAGAAAAGCCGACAGGCCGAGCGCGTAGAGAAAAGCCCCCAGACGAACAAGGCCATCAGCGCTCAGTACAGCCGTCGAGTCCAAACCCTAGACAATAGCAACGACACATCCAAGCTCAACTAGTTTATTTGTATTGACTTCATCTCAAGTACCAGACTTTCAAAGCCCGAAACATGAAAAACATAGCTTATTTGTTTTGAATCGGTAGTCGATCGTTCGGTATGCGTGGAAGTAATTTCACTATAGACTGCTTTCTTAACTCATTGGAAATCGGTAGCAGACATCGATAGCTTCTTTTTTTGTTAAAACTCCTCAATATATCACCTATTCTCTAATTTCCTAGCTGCCATAGAATCTATGGATGTAAAAAAGATGTACTATTAATATAATGACATGTTTCTTAAACAATGATTCAGTGAAGCTCGTCGAAATATTCAAGTCGGAAGTCTAAAGGCTCCACACGCCCTGGATACTCATAGCTGGACTGTTTACATCGGTTGAAAATTAGATTTTCAATATGAAACACAAATCTATTGATGGATTAGGCAGGTTTCTTGCTCTAACATCTTCTAAAAGGTGACCATTGTCTTACTAAAGCCAAAAATTTACTTAATGCTAACACATCGTACCCGTTCGTTCCCTAAGATTCATTACCACGATCGGCGCTTACCTTTTCATAATCAAAATAACTGTTAACCACGTTCCCAGCTGAATGAACGCAAAGTGCTGTCAATGCAGAGCCCAGAAACGCCCAAGGGCTGAACCCACTGCCAAGTCTGTATGCAAGAGACGCTCCCAGAGCAACTGGCTCCAACGAAATATGAAGACTCCACGGGCGGAGGGCAAGAAAGCACGCTGACATTGCACTTACTGCCGACGCCGGTACGGTTGTGGCTCCGACAGGATCCGCTACCATTTTGAAGGACACCCGATTACCCCTCCTAAGAACACATATGCCATTACTAGAACAATCATTCTTATTAAAAAGCTATTCACCAAGTCAAGACTAAATTTAATAATATTTCTTCTTCTCCGTTACTGGTTTACGTGAAATCGCCTATTGAAAACTTACATTTCAGAAACATCAGACATAACGGTAAGCCATTGATTCCTTTGCTAGATCACAGAGAGAACCAGTCGTTACTGGTATCTGTTATCCGAAGTCATTACGACATTTTGGTGGATGTATAATTCCCATGTGCAATGCGGCTGTAAAGTAATGCAAGAAATAGATAACTGATTCATAACAAATGTGGCTATTTAGAGTGTATATCTTCACCGTAATTTGTTTGAACGGAACGATCTACCAGGCGCTCGGTACTGGTTTGTGGTAACATTTGTTTTTTGATACTGTTCTAATACTCAAAGTAGCGTCCGTTGTCTTCGATGTGATTTACGACATCATGAGTTAGCTTATTAAAAGTTTTACAACATCACTGATATTCTTTTGTTTACTGAATTTCTCTCTGTTGTAGTCATTTCGACCAATTCGGACATGTGAAAAACCTAAATATAAGCCATTTACTTTTTGCGCACAATTTATAGTAAATCGAGACAGAGTACAGCGGAAAATAGACCTGCACTCTTTATTCAGACATCACCCGACTGTTTGTACGAAAAATAGTTTGTATCAAAAATGAATGTATCGTGGACAGTTTCCAATATGCGTCAAAATCTGCAGCATATAAATAGTCGTTAAGAATAACAGACTTAACAAGGAAATATAAATCTTCAAATTTTGATCATATTTCTGTCCATCTAAAATGAACAACACGCCTACCAGGCGTTTATTCATTGAAGTAGCACCATCAGATGAGCTCATGGTAGTATATAATCATGTATATAAATCGTCTGCTACACTCAGTTCATATAACTTCTCACTGCATTAGCTACTACGATCTGGTACTGGTATTCGTATATTGAAATGTACATAATTTGAATCTATATGTAGTGTTATTCGTTTTTGTTATATGTTCGACCGATTTTTAGGTATTAGTAAACAGGTTAAACAACCTAAGTGCGTTTCTTAATGTCCTGTTATTAAAGTAGACTTGTAGAGGATATTTAGATGACAGCTAGGAAGTTACCTTCCATTCCCTTTTCCTCGTGTTACATCAGATCAAATACGAATGATGTTACAACGTCTAGAAGCAGCAACGATATCTGTGTTTGAGAGTTTAGAAATGAATGAGTCGAGCAATTATGTAAGCAAACAACAAGTAATTACAGGTGAATGGGCTGCTGCATTTCAGTCCTGCGTAGCAGTCTATATCAACTGTATATATAATTCTTTTATAGTACGAGGATATGTAGTAATCAAATATTTTTCTGTCTATGTGAATAATAATAATAGAGGGTATCGGTAGAATGACCTATCATTGATAACGGATATCTATTCAAATCCGTCTAGGTCATTTGATCATCTTGATGACCGCGACCATATATAAAGAAGAATACCCTGCAAGATACTCAATATATAATACATGTATGTAATCATGTAGTCATGTATATAACATGTGATTTAATCAAAAATAGTATTTATTCACGTTTTACATTAACGTTATAACTATCATTTAGTTATACAATGTAAATACAGAAAACCGCTTACAGTATGCTTCGAGACAGGCACGTAAAACAGTGCGTGCTAGTTTTTGAGTGTTTTGAGGTTTAATGGTATGCTAATAACTAGTCACAAACACTTTACGTCAGCAGCTTGAAGTTACGGTAACATATAAATGAAATGGTAGTCAACCCAACTCAACTTATCAAAAAACTTTTATATACATATTAAAAACTAGTTAAAACTCATCTGCGTTCTCTTGGCACCCTCAAAGTCGTACAGATCAATGCAGAGCATATAAAATATGCATCAAATGAATCATGAAATAACCATGCCAATCCAGTAGGTAAGTAGTGTAAGTCACCGTGATGCACCGGTGACGTCTTCGCCTGTTATATCTAGTCACACGTGGTGGTCGAGGTTCGAAATGGAACGTAGACACACCTTATTTTTTGCTAGGACCCAGCCATGTGAAGCATTATTTAACGTCAACATACGACGTATACCTTATATATATATACGACGTATACATATAAGCCATAGAAGGCCCTTATAGAAACCGGGTTGACGTGGAGAGCGCCTGCCACGGCATGATTTGGATATAACTCAACGTTTATGCTGAATTGCGTATAAAAAATAACCAAATTATACTTTCCCCTTGCTGAATTGATTACCGCGTCCTTATTGTTCGAAATGATCATCGTTCGATTCGTTTCAAACACAAAACTTGGAAGCGTTGGCACAATTTTCAATACTCAGTTATTTGGGGAAAATCATATTCCCTAATTAACATACAACGTGTTCAGTATTGTTTTATATTATAGCTTGCATGAGTGTCTGACATCGCACCTTCCCTTGACCGTTTTTTCTTAGCTCGCAGGTTGAACATCCAATTCCACTCGAGTTCCATTCGCCGAATATCGAAGCTATTATAGATAGAAAACTATTGCATCGGTTTTTATTGTATACGTATATAAGATATAAACGTATAGAACAAAACAAACCACTTCTCATACCAATAAATTGCTATTGGCACAAAGTGTTCTGCTTAAAGTACTCCAACTGAAATTGGTGTCTTGCTCTGATGACCTGCTGTTTCATATAGATTAACAAAATTACACTTACCGTTAATAACGCCTCTTTAGATTCTGGGCAGAATAAAGTGCTGCACAGCTGATACTGACACAGTATTAGATCACACTATTAGGCCGCCGCTGCAAAATTCTAATTTTGCAATTTAAAAAACATCCTAGTGGTCATAACTTGAAATCGAACAGCATCCTCTAGGAGCACTGCGGCACTCGGCCGCGTTTCGACTAATGCAGCCAGCCACACAGCTGATCCTTAACCGCACGACCTAACAATACTAGCGTTGATGTTTACTAACAAACAATCTACCCTGCACAGTTTTCGAGATATTGCAGTTTTTCCTTGTTCACATGACATGCTTCGAGCGAACATAATTTCGAAAAGCTGTTGGCGGCTAAAGGAAAGTGCATTCAAAATTCATGCTTAATTTGCATTGCAGATTTAGTTTACTAAAGACGCAACAGCGAATTAGCCGAGTAATAATAGCTCTTACATTTTGATACCTATGGTAATCGAGTGTTTTGATCGGCTAACGCGCAACCAGTTAGCCTTGCTTTACACACCGTAGAAAAGTAACTCCGCTGAAACCGGTTCCTAGAACGTTGCTTTAATTTTGCCCTAAAACTTCGCTAATGTTCATTTAGTAGCAAACAATGCTTTCCAGGAGCGTATACTAAACGGATGTCCCCAGAATATCTCACAGTACGTCCTCCAGCTAAAAATAGATATATTATAAGCTATACAGGGAAAATCTGTTGGTTAATTATATTTTTCATACATAAGTAGATCTTATCGTTGAGCCTTAGCACTTCATAAAGTGCGATTTCATTGATACTATACTCACCCATTTAATTATTTAGATCATGAATGCTCTAACTAAGAACGCCTTTTTTTAAATAAGCTAAATCAAGATGTGATGGCTGGCTAAAGGACGCTTCTGATTGATCAACTTGCATTGCATCTTATAAGGTACGCAAGTTATGAATAACATAACGCGGCGCAGCGGTATCTATGATCTGACAGCTTAGAGCAGCTGGATATTTTCGTGCTTGTGTTTGTCAGTGAAGTTTTTCAAGAGTCGAGCTCAGGTAACTTTGTCATTCAAAACTCAATTATTCTCGGAGAGAATTCTTCTTCTATCATTACTTATAAACAAAGACACTTTTTTTTTACAAACCTCCTTCTTCTATATTTGCATAATTAAAGGAATAGCATCTAATATTATTATTATTATTGCGCCTCACATAGGTGCCATTTATATCGACCGAGTTATGGTTATTCAATTTTATTACATGCTGAAAATCCAATTTGACGTTTTAGCTTGATTTGAAAGTGTTCGATATTTTCTGGTTAGAAATCTTTTTGGACTGCACATACACGATTTTGTCAAGATAATTGTTCTAGGTCTATCTCTGTCATTAGTAACTCAAAACTATAACTTTACCAATCTAGCTTGATGTCACGATAGACAGAGGCTTATTCCTGCAGTTCAGTGTTTGGTACGCAGGTCAGTTCGTACGTAGAGCCTGATAATAGGTATATAATAATGATCTAACTGAATCAGCCGAATGAACCCACTTTCAATTAACCTAATATTTTTTTGCACGGTAAGGCCAAACCCCACACGGCAAAGATCATTAAATCCGCTTTATATATGCTTAACTGAAAAGTTCATTTTGGCCCGTTTGTTATTCCCTCGATATCGATGAATTCTGACTTGAATGAACGTACGGAATAGCGAGGCTATGAAATTTTTCCGCGGGGTTCCCCTAATCGTGACAAATTTTTTTAGACTCAGAAACATGATAATAAAAAAAATGAGGATTCATGTGAGATCTCATTTAAAATGGCATTTCGATTTAAAAGCTGCGTCTTATGCGTTCTGTAGATTATCATTGGAATGTAAACACCTCACGGTAAACCCACTTTGCGGGCCTTTATAAGCTAGCCAGAAATCGACTCGCTTTTTCTCTACAAAACAACGTTATGTACTGAGGAGCTGCGGAGACGATTAGACTTAAAGAAAACCGAGGCTTATCAACAGTTCGTTCCAGAATACGAACAGAAGATGAGATATGTATAGACCCAGATTTCTATAGAATCAGTGCGATGATCAGTCCTGCTTGGAGCGAGAGCAAAAAACGGGTCAAAACCTCGCGACTCGGCACGCGATATACGTCTTTCATCATGTTATTTTGCGGACACCAAATTATTACTACCCAGGAAAAGATTGCGGCAGCCAACGGTGCGATGCGCCATAGAATCTACATTACGTCTTACTATTTCCTCGCTTAAGGCCGTAGTAGGTTTGTAAATAAGCCGATACATTAACGTCTTAATATGGCTTACATTTCTACTCTTATTGTACATTAAAAATAATTTTATAGAATGTTATGTGTGCAAAGCTATAACTGCACCATAATTTAATTGCTTCTATTCGAGTTGTCTGTTATATATTAAGCTGTTACAAGCGAATCTGGCGGGCATCGAAAGTGAATAACTTTTGAACTACGTGCCGCTAGAAGGCAAAATTCACTTGATAAATACTCCTTGATAAATAAAATAAAGTTTTTTTAAAAACCTACGAGTGAACAGATGAATTTACTCCAAAAGAAATAAATTTAAAAAGAAAAACATTATTGAAAGCTAGCGAGAAGGTGGCCAGAAGTGGAAATCCAGGGGATTAAAATGCATTACCATAATCGAAAAGGCTTTTCACGAACGCAGAGCTTAAGATCCAGCGTCTCTGGCGGGGAAAATTCGCATTTCACACGTAGCGTGTTACAGAATTATAGCTTAAATGCTGCAATTGCGGAAACTAAGTAAAAAATAGGTCCCTCGTGAATTGACCCCAGACCAATCGGAAATGCGTGTAATGTGTTCTGCGTCCTATTTGCGGAACTTTAGTCAACAAAAACGCGTCTGGAGCACATTGTGGCCATTAACAAAGCATAGTTCGGTCTCTACCGCTAGCCGTAGAGGGATTAAGCGAGAGAATTCGTCCTGGAGAGGTTGAGTCCGGTGGCAATGTCGAGTCACTTCGAATGTAAGTTAATGTGAGTAGATGAAAGTAATTAACATTAAGTACATCAGAGTCATCGATTGCCATAACATACTTGTCACCAGTAAAGCAATAATTCCAGGCCACTATCTCGAATTCCTCAAGAGACTTATGAACCTTTCGGACGGCAACGAGGTCTTTTTAGTTGATGGCAACAGCAGACTCCATCGCCATGCCCCATTTGCTACTGGGACCCAGGATTGATCAAAGGAACACCCAAAGTTTACTATAATCCATTTCGAGAAGGCATATATGAAGGAATGGGAACATAAATGGTAGATAGATGGCCCAGGGCGCTGGGATAAGTGTGTAAAAATGACGGAGAGTAGCCCAAGCACCTCTTAAAAATCATTATTCTAGTTCAAAAGTTGTATAGTTTAAAAATCCACTGAATTCCCTTGCAACTTAATATATTAAAGTTTTATATGCAATATTTACCGAACAAACGGTGTCATTAAATAGTATTATTACTCTGTACTCCAAGCCTCCCGGCGATGGATTATAATATTTTTAGTCATTGGAAGATTAAACCGGTAATTGTATAGTTGGCATTAAGAAGCGCTAAAAGCTCACGGTATGTGAGTAGCGAGAAATCAATGGCTTTTAGTAGCTAACGCCGTATGGGCCACAACTTTTGTTTTTTAAACTAAGATATTATATATGTAGAGGCGATTATCCTAGTATCAGTCCTCATATTCAGGTTTTTCATTTTAATTTTAGATAGGACGCCTCATATAAGCTATGAGAAAGTTATTCATTGACTTACAACTTCTGTTGTGGAATAATTGTTTCCCACTATTTTTCGATAGCTATTCATTAGCTTTTATACATAGCTGGAAAATCCGGATAGCGATAAAGGCTATAATATTATATCTTTATATTTGAAAACGCACATGTTTGCACAACATGTGTATTAATAAAGACGCTTAATAACATATTAAAACATTTTTTTGGAATGAAGAGGTTACCTAATAGTTTTTGGCGCACACCAAATACACAAAAAAAAAGTTCTTCGTAGTCTGCGAAGAACTTTTTTAGCGCTGGTATCGCCGAATTTACGGGAACTTGTCTTAGTACGACGATACTCGTACAGTGACACTATGTTATCTATATATTACGTTAATATTTTATATTATACATGAATGCGTAGGGTGTACGTCCTTCTAGCAAGATCAAATTGCTCTGCTTCTTTCTAATGCTTACAGAAATGGTGAATGGTACCAGTAGCGGCCATTAAAAAGATCGACTAACGATGAACGAAAGGTATTTTCCCTCTTTGGCCACTATTTCGTAGGGAAAGCTTGTCGTTTAAGCATTGTCTTGAATCAATTGTGACTAATATAGCGACAAGCGTAATGTAGTTTTTGTTCCAGTTTAAGGAGTAATGATAATCATGGGTATTATTAAATGATGATTGGAATGAAGAAAGAGCTTTACTAGGTTATATATAAGTCTTCAAGTTACCTAGGCTATATATGAGTCTTTAAGTTTTTTTTAATAGAGCTCTTCTCTAATCTGTTTACTTGTGCGAGCAGTAAAGTTTGTTCTTATTTTTGAAAAGTGAGAATTCTAGCTGTAAATGAAACCCTGCTAGAAATAATTATGAAATATTCGTTTCGTTGCTCACACACCTAAACCGGTGCAAACGATTAATATTGATGAGCTTCACAAGCAACGAAATGCCCACGGGCAGAGTTCCCTTAAGAAAACGATGAGTCCTTTGCATCTCAAGGTCACCAGGGTTAAGTTGCTTCATGCAAATGTTCGAAATGGCATGCATTGATTTGCCAGCCTTTAGTCTGTTATTGCAACCGACGGACAACAAGAAATCCATTCGTATAGCAAATTGACAATTAAACGCGCTGTCACTTCCTGTTGCGATTTCACTCTGAATAATCCCAGCTCATCCGTCAAAACGCTTCAGTGATAAAATTAAGGTGCCTAAAAAGGTGAAATGAATGTTCAATATTTAGATACAATGTATTTATTGACAGTAGTTTTTAGCTTATAACAATTAAAAGTAACAACATTTTCGTGCAACGAGCTCGATGTGTCCCCTGTTAATGGTTTTAGAACAACAGTTATGTGATAAATCTTTTGCATCTAATACAATGCTATACAGCTCGACAGTATTTACATGTGATGGATCCTTTTTAACGCTTCGTTTCTTTTTATGAGGAATATAACTGTTTTTGCTTGCATTAAAATAGAGCGAGTTCCTCTAAAGATCAAAAAAATATTATAGAAGTTAGCTTGCATATATTTAGATCGCATAAATATTTGCAAATCCGTATATGGTGATTAAAAGCGCAATGTGGACTTCTCAGATTACTAACTGGGTTTCAGGTAGTTAAACATTAACCTCGGTAAAAATAGAAGAAACGAAGGAATAGGAATATGCTCAAGAACTAAAAATGTCTAGGCAGCTGCAGCTGCCTTCGCCTTAGCCCATCCATGGCCGTGATGCGATTTCAGTAGAATGGGCACTGGCTTTTTAATCGTCACTGGTACTTCCTTAACTAGCGGGACCTCAACGGGAATATGTCTCGTCACAGGAACTGGGTATGGTTTATGAACAGGAACCGTGTAGGGTTTTGGTATTTTGACCTCGACAGGGACACTATACGGTTTATGAACAACGTATGGTTTGGGAACGTGCACCACGAATGGTTTTGGTACTTTGACAACGTGCGGTACAGGATAGGGCTTCTTAACCTCTACAGGCACTGCAACGGGCACCTCTTTCGGCACTGGTACCACCTTGTGAACCGGATAGTACTGATGAACAACGTGGGGTACGGGGACCGGCTTCGGAACAGGCACACTTTGATACACGGGAACTGGTTTGTGGACAGGGACGATATATGGCTGTGGTATGGGATGTGGTACAGGAACAGGTTTTGGTACGCTTTTTACCACAACATTCACTTTTGGCGTATGATGGTGGCCCCCAAAGCCTCCATCGCCAAAACTACCCCCACCATAACCTTCAAGATCTCCTGCGTTCACCAAGCCACAGCCTACCACGACTGCTACTGCAACGACGATCGTCAATGACCGCATTGTGCGGCAAGTGTCCGAACCGTTATTGACAGCCCAAAAGCGTTTACTTTGCGTGCAAAAAATTCAAGTAATAGATCGGTGCGGCAGTAACAGATCCAGAGCAGTAATAGTAAGGTCCGATTTGTTCTGTGGCGGGTTTGGAAAGCACGAGTGCTTATGTAGTCTCCCACAGTCCGCTAACTTTCGCCATATAAGCTGATGCTGCTGCTGCTGCCGTCGCTGTTATCCAGCAGCAATAGCAACACGAGGTGGTTAACAGCCCCTTCGCCTCCATAACAGCACAGCGGTGTCCCCGGGATTTCTGGAAGGGCGAAAAAAGGACGTAAAGTGGTAGTAGCCAATAGTCAATTAACGGGGGTGACCGCCTTCTACACGTTCCCCCCGTCCAACAACCGCTCAACGAAGCACATCCGCCGTCATATTTCGCTAGTTATTATTGTTGTGCAGATTATTATTGACCTTATGCCAGCGTCCGTCGGTACCAGCTATTACTAATCCTACGTCTTACTACAGTTACTGTAGACCTATAGGCATCATTATTTTTGTAATCGATTCGAACTTTTTCACTTAATAGAGTACTGCAGCTGAGATTTTTTTAAAGCAAGTAACTTCCAATCAATTCGAAACTTGATAAAAATTTATGTTACTAGTAGGGAACCTAGTAAGTACTACACAGCTGTTATAAGAATGCTCACTTCTGAAATACTTTTAATAAACAAGTTGCAGATCTGTTCTATCCGCACGACGAGATCCCAATTAAGTGTCTTCTGATAGCAGAACGGTAAAAGCTTGATAGTCTTTAATTAAAATGTGTGAATATTATAATAGACGTGTTCCGGGACCGAACCATTCTTTCATTCGAATCCGTTTTTGTTTGTCGCATGACCGAACACATCCGTAAGTAATAGAAAACTCTGTCTAGTTTAAATGTATTCGCTATGTTAATTATTTTACTGGATTGTTTATTTACTTATTACTATACACTTCACGATGATCCTTATTGTCATGTAATCTCTTTTTTAATGGCATAATTAATATCTTGGTATTTCTAGTAATACTCGTCTAGAAAAACACGAATGAGCATCTCTTTCACTTTGTCTAAACGCCATTAAACACAATAGCTTAGCAAACTGAGATGTTTTTTTTTTAACTAATTAACCATTTACGTAGCTCATGGCAACAAAGTTTAGTGGATATCATGTATATATATAATGACAAGGCAAGATTATGTACCTGACAGATAGAAAACTTGTTAAAGGTTCTCCGAAGAAGCGTGCATGCCCTTTCAACCATATCTGTCAGGTTTGTAATAGGGACAACCAACGTTTCCACTAAAAACACTAGGCCTCGCAGATTAAAGACTTGCGAATGAATGTATTGATGTACAGCGGGGCGAAGCGCATGCTCAGCTAATTGTATGGTGCGATGTGGTATAATAATCTAAGATAAGTAAAATCAATGAACGCATTCGCCTATAAATAGACATATAATACATGCATTGTATGTAAATCAATGCATAGTGTTTGATTGAACGATTACGGACTACAATTATATCCAAAATAAAGAAGTCCAAACTTTCTAAATCGAAGCTAGTGATTAGTCCAATAGTCCTGAGAAAATCCCTCTGTTTGCATATTTACCAGAGGTAAGTAGAAGTTAATTAATGCGGTTATATTACACATAGTATTCAAGCTACCATCTTGAAGCTAACAATTAGCCAGGCCTTTGTCGAACTGAAAGCCATGCACGAAAAAAGGCTGCACGCAGTCGGGCTAGTGAGAAAACTATAGATGGTTACAATTGACCAATAATGAACAGGGAATAGGTTACTGGTCATTGAGTGGCCGAAATTTGCTCAGTGAAGTGCATCTGTGATTCTAAGTAGCGCAAGTATTACGGTTACTATGGGTAGGTAAATTACTAGGGCAATGTCAGCAGCAAAAGTAAAGGAGTTTTTTTTTTATAACAAAGCAACAAACTGATTACGGCGGAAGTCAGTGCGTCATTCGCGCAATTTGAGAGAAGGTAAGCTATAGACCAATGTATTGGTGCTGGGCGAGTCAGCAAGGCTAAGATGTCACCTTTCTGCCTAAAATGGACGGATTATTAGTTTTCACATGACTTCTGGAAAAGCCGTGAGGTTCAAAAATTTTTTTTTAAACGGCAGAAAGTCATCCAAATAACTTAAAAAGCCATTTTTGATAAGCCCAAAAATTAGAGGCCGTTTTGGGAAGAAGAATAATGATTGCCAATTAGGTCGTTCAGATAAGCTCCAGCCAGCGTCTGTAGGGCCGTCTTGGATGTTTTTGACTTTTCAGTTGCCGTTAGGTTCTGCATTTTTTGCCTGTTGTCATTCCAAAATACAACTTCGCTCAAATTTTGTGTATGTAGGATATCTTAACGACACGTTAACGCCAAACAGTATCGCTTAACATACTATTCGAAAAAAAAAAAAAAAAAAAGTGTTAAAGTAATTAGTAAGTAGTTTACGTCCCGGATCGAAGCTCATGAGTGGCTACGATATTGAATAATTACGACTGGCAGAAATGACACTTTTATCATATGCAAAACATTTCGGTAAGATATCTGTATTTTATATAAGCACAATCTTGAAAACGACGTGTAAGATAAATGCCTTGTTTAGACAGACCATCCTGATAAGATGGCGATAAAAAGAAAAAGAAAAAAACATACTATGTACAATATATCAACCAAATTATTTGTTTGATACACAGTATCTCGCTTTTTGCCTTCCCACGCTATTGTACTACATTCACTCTCTTTGTTGGCGCACAAGGTTGCTGCAGGACTGAGACTTTTCAATGCCCCCGCTATACTAATAATAATAATAGTAAGTGCTCATTGATTCTGCTTTTTGCCCTTTTGTTCTTCAATACTAGCGAATTTATTTGTAGATTTTGAGCATCCTTTAGATTATAGGGCCTGCTAAAACCAGCATCAGTAGCTGATTTAGATTTTCCAGTTATCTCCATGGACAACCCATTGCGAAAGTTCTGAAATCATCGATAATTTGCTTTATTTTTCTTTATATAAGATTCTACTATTTTAGAAGAATTGGAGTTTGTTTTGATTGGAAGACAATAATACTGTGTTCTTTTTTGATTTAGCTCATCACTCGAATCAGTGAAATGCTTCTTAAAACTGCTTAATTCAACCTGCTTGGTAGTTTGGGTTTGTACCTAAGCCTGGTCACATTTCGTTTTGCCAAGCGTTTGGTGGAAAAGATAACGGTGGTACTGGATGTCAAATTCAAAACATTCAGTTCAACTTACTAACAAAATTAGGCTACTACGGAAGAAGTGGACGTGTAGTTATACATCTACGTATCTATGAATTTACCAGTTTCCATTACTTTATCTCATACACGCTGTAAGAAAATGGATCACAAAATATAAGAGATTAAATGCACTACATCAGCCCCAAATAGCTACTAATAACGATCGCTTAAAGCGCCCAATCAGTAGCCGTAATAATAATAATCATAAAGGGTCCTCGCTGGGCCCGCAAACCGTAGTTGAATGTTGGTCTTGTCGTTTATTGGGCGAACGGTGCAAATTTCACAAGATCGCTTCGCTCGATAGCGTTCACCACGACGTAGACTTATTCAATTGCCGCCATGGCCAATGTTAGTGATGAGGCTTGCCTTAGTACTGCTTACGACAATGACAAACAACAGCTCTTGAGGAACTACTGGTTCACTATCTACGATACAGAACTTAAGTGGGAGCCCTTATCGCTGCAACAACAACAAATGCCGCCATGTTGCGCAAAGTCGTCACGCAACGTGACCTAACATGTAGAAAAGCAATTTTTATATCGACGTATTTCTTAGGGTATTTATAATCGGCATCATTAAAACGATCACAACAATATCCAATCAGCGATTTGTAACGTTAATCAAACGAGCTGAAAAGAACATATGCTAGGAAAGAGACTAGCTTTAATTTTGTATTTTCATTTTTAGGTTTTATTAAACTACCTAAGTCTCCTACAAGCCGAATGGACGTTATCGAAATTTCTTTCGCGTCTTTTTTGCTCCAGATCTATTAGGATGTTCACGAAAATCCGTATGCTGCATTATTTTAAAGAAAGGATCCTATCAGCTGGGCTTTTTCAAGAGGTTGACGTATAAAACGCGTTATAGGACACCGGGCCTTATTCCGGTACGGTGCTTTAGTAAGCATATTGCAGTTACACTAAAATCATTTTTTTTTCAATCCTTGCTCTCGGGTGGCGTTTCCGTCTACTTTTTTTTCCTAAAGTTGTATGCCATTCAATAGTTGTTAGTTCATACGCTTTTATGTATCATGACCGCGACACTGTAATTCTTCATTTTACCATATCTCTAGGAACGGATAACTTCAGTGTTTACATTCCCAGTTTACAAACATATTTTAGATCCTGACACCATTGACACAGGCCCTCATAAAGCCACCATGGAAGAAAAATAAGAACAACTAATGAATAAGGAGCAAAGTAGCTCTTAATTTTACCGAGTTTACATTTATAAACGTGTTTTTTTTCTCAATGGTGAACAAACGTAATTGTATATTTATGTAAACATTCGTGCGGCACCGTTAGTTATAACACTGATAAGTTTTAGAAAGATTAAAAATTCGTGACATAGGCCTACGAGAGCACCAGAATGCCACTGCGCGCATGCTATTTATCACAAATAGAAGCTTTTTTCAGTTGATGAAAGCGCCAGTCTGTAGATAATTGGCTTTGGATGCCGTGGATCGCTGTGCTTTCTTCCGGCCACTGTCTCTCATGACTCTCGCACTGAAAATTCATTGTCTACTAGTCAGATAAGCCCCGGCTACTACAAGGTCCTTGGATACTCGATGAGGTCGAATAGGCGTTTTTCTATACTATTATGTGATGTGCAAGGCGAAGCTGCGACTATTGAAGGAGAGCAGTAATGCCTGTAATTAAAATTATGTTTCTAAGAAGCAAACAGTAGTGTTTACTTCGCTGATCTAGTTTATCTATATCTATATATATATATATATATATATATATATATATATATATATATATATATATATTGACTTGACTCGACTCTTTTAAAACCAACTTTGGAGCAAATGTTTTTTTTTGTAATAATTTAACTAATAGTGGTATATATAGTAAACTAAATATGCGTAATTTTGATTAATGACCTTCTGCCATTTCTTTGATAGCATCGTAATTTTATTGCTTTGGACGTTGTATCTGGTTTCGTGCAAAAAATCTTCTAAAAAGTGGTTTAGCATGCCTCAATTAACACTACTGAGAAAGTTCTACAGAAACCGAAACGGTCTATAATCTGATGGTGCAAGATATATAGTGCACGGCGGGCGCATTCAAACTTCCGATCCAAGTCCTCTCGATTTTCGCCGGGTCGCTAAACTTGTTCGTGGTCTCGCATTGCCACGACTTTTCTGTTCATGAGCTGTAGTCAATCTTTTTCGATGGTTCGTTGTTTCGACTTTGACAATGGAAGTCCGAATCAGTCATTTTGTAACAACACATGATTCCCTTCCAGACCTACTAAACACACTACCCCTTTCTTCAGCGTTAGTCTGGACTTAGCAACGGGAGCATATTCTTTGTTTCCTATTATTGTTATACTTCTTATTACCCGTTATCAACAGCTTTCTAAATGGCTCGATTTTATTGCATTTCTGCAGAACCGAATCAATTCGTTTATGTCCATTCGTGTGGCACCCAAACATCGCAGTCCTCCTAAAATGTTCCAAAGCTACTTGATGATAAATATTTTAGTTCCTTGGGAACATTGTGGCCACTCGTATGTCGGTTTGCTTAGTTTTCGCAAGAATTTCATCAACTTTTTTTGCAACTGGTCGACCACTACGATGAGAAAATTTCGCAGCGAAATTTCCAAAACAAAAGTAACAGAACCGTCATTGGACAGTTTCGTTCGATAACGCATTGTGACCACAAAGAGCACCATTTTATTTATAGGCTTGAGCGTTTTGTGTTTGTCCAATACTAAAACATAAAGAATTCTTGCAGAAATCATCCATATGTATAAGATGTACCATCTTAAATCTGAACAAAGCCATTCAAACAATTCGAGCTGTCAAATTTCAGCTTTTATAAGCCACCAACGTCCACCCGACGCGACGCGACCCGACTCGACCCATCATTTTTGAGATATGTGACTTGAAAGCAGTCTAGCGAGAAGAACGATTAACACTTTTGCGACAAGCTAATATATATATATATATGAATTTGATTCGAGCATCATAATATGGATTAATGAATACAGCCGCGTCTGCGGCTATATAAACGCAGAGCGAGTGAGCATCAGGTGGTTGTTAGCGCCAGTCAACGACTGAGCTTAACCGAGAAGTGTGTGCGCATTATGCCGAACCAGTTATTAAAGACTGAGATCTTGTTTGATTCCATTTCTCGTAAAACATATTTAGTAATAGAACAAAAAAGGGCTGAGCAATCTTTTTCTTCACTTATTCCCTTTGGATAACAGAGTGAAAAAAGGGAAAGTTAGAAGATAGGTAAGGCAAAGTCGTGTGTTCAATATAATGCTGGATATGCAGACTCCATCAACATATTATCGCGCGCAAAAATATGAATCTATCTAAATCACTGTATACTAAATGGTCTGGCGAATCAAGCAGCTGCAATCTAGACAATTAAGGTATCGTATTGTTGTTTATTCCAGCTATAGGGTTGTACTCGACATCACGGTTGCTTACGTCGCACTCACAGTCACTGCACAATGTCGTCATCAGAATCAGCTGTTTGCCAAACATGGCGCTGTCGAATGCACAAAGCAAGTGATTTTTGGACATGTAACAGAAATTCGGATACAGGAATACGGTGTTTTTATCATGTAGTGCATGTAGGAGTCGTGTGGTGCTATGGTATAGATCGACATTTCAAGTAAGCCCTTCCACCTACTGCATATGCTCCATCGGCGTGCACAAATAAAGTAAGTTAGCCTGAACGCTACCATATTGGCCAATCAGACTTTTTGCAGAATTTCTTTACACATCTGAATTTCAAAAATTTGTAAATATACAGCGCATTTTTCGTTTAAGATATGGCGGAAAACGCATTTTTTTTCTAAAACAACAAAAACTTCTTTTTAACTATTTCAGACAGATTATCTTACGCAATGCTGTTTATTTGCGTGTGATTTTTGCTGCAACTTGTCAGATGTAGACAATGGCAACTCTAACGGTTGGTCGAAAGCTAGGACGTACTTTTAAGGTAGTAATAGAATATTCGAGTGTGTTAAACTGTGTAGGGCGAAATATGTTTGAATTCGCATTTTTTTTTTTAAATGACAAAACCATCAAAGTAAAATCTTCCAATCAATTTTATTCCATGACCTGTAAAACTGACTGGAAACAACACCAGCGTATTTTCGTAAAAACTGCTTTATGTAATAATTGCAAGATAGATTGCCGAAAAAGATATGTAGGTAACAATATGCACATGTCTGTAAAAACAGTCGAATACATTAACTTGTCCGAAACGCGCTAGCTAGTAACTGTACAGGAAATTGCACCTTCTAAATACGAAATCGAATTTCTTCGACATTCAAGAAGCAGCAGAGTTATAAAAGTGAGCAAACAAACACTAGAAGTGACAAGAACAAGGCGTATCAGTATGCTTTGTGTAAATGGTAATACTTATATTTACAACCTATATGTTCCTTTATTCAAATCGGTACAATCCAAAGCGCTACCCTATGAAAACGCTTTCATCAAATGGAAAAATCCTAAAGATTACGTTTAATTCCTCACAATGGTTTCTTAGGTGGTGGAAGTTTTTTTGCGCCGAGAATGCGGTACAGATAGTGTATGGAATAAACCTGAAACATCTCAGTTAGCAAATACGCACCGGAAGAAAGGTATTTTGTGAGCGAAATTACACGCTATATATATATGTATAATCGATCAAAGATAATCAGTGCAAATTTTCTAGCTAGAATATCGGTCTATTGGTGTACTAAAAGGGGCAACAGATTAGAATCAATATGTAAGTGCGCCAGCCACTTATTCAATAATAAGAAGCGGCTACAAATCAAGAGGAGGCACCGATATATATAACATCTTCGTATTTTGGGTTCATGTGTCTGGCCACCAAGGTAATTCTGCTCAATTAAATAGACAAAATAATTTTTTCTAGTCCTTTATTGATTAACTAAAGAAAAATAATTACAGTATATTTAAACTAAAATTTGAAAGTACTTTCTCTTTGCTGAAAGATTTGATATAGAACGCTGTTCTTTAACATCCATAATAATCAACTGCAGAGATTTCGCAGAGAAATTGCAGAATTCTATTCGAAAGACAAAAGTCTGTATTTCTAAGAGTTAGATGGTGATGGTTGCAACAAAAATTTATTAAGGGATAATCAAAAATATGACTTAATTTGATTAGCATGAAACGGTGGAAAATTGATCCTATATTTTAGGGTAACGCGTCTTATTATAATGATGGGACGCTTAACATTGAAAACTCAAGATATGTTTGCATTTTTTAAAATCAGAGAACGTTTACTCGGATATAGTCACTTGGGCCCTAGGCAGGCTGGTTGCAGTAAGCTATACCAAATCAGGAAATTCTAGTAATTTGTGAATATGAAATCTGTCTCGGAACTACAGCGATAGATAGAAATTTGCTACTAGCAGGACCATACAATTGGTTTCAAAAATTGCCGGCAGAAAATTTTCAGCTCGATTTGAAATTTGAAGTCCCATAACTTTCTGCAAACCTGAAGGATGAGGTGTTCAGCACTTGTGTTGGGAGCCGACTCACCTCAACCGTATGGGTGCTAGCACTTAGACATGATGTATGTAAAATTATTGCACAAGTTGAAAGTAAAAATGGGCCGCATGATTTGAGCAACGATCAAAATCCAAAATGCAAAGACGTTTTCTTTCCTTTGCCCTCACTTTATAGCAGTGATCCATTCATAGATTAAATTACGACTCAATGAGAATAGATCAAACGCAGATAGTTATATCCGTGGGTGAATGCAATTAATCGGTGGACGTCAGCAAGTGTACGGCTGCTACAGCTTACGGCATCTGATTAATGGTATCTACTGCAATGTCATAAGTCGCGCTTTGTCGATTATGACTGAAATCTACTGTTATAGTAGGAGTTTTTAAGAAGACTCCGCATTAAGCAGCAAAGATTGAAACCCAATTGCACGACAATGCTTGCCGTCACACCCCAAGGCTTGCAGCGTTAAAGGTTCTCTGCCATCCATTGTACTCAGCAGGCATAGATTTTTTTTTAATTTCAACAATTTAAGTTTCAAATTTTGACATGATCTCGAAATGTGAAGAATTGTAGTTCCTCGTATCCCAGGCTTAACAATGGTATATACTTTGGTTAAAGAAAAAAATTCTACTTTACAATCTAGCTTTTAACACCAAATGACCTAATAATACGTGTGATCCTTAAACCTCGGATATTTATACGCAGTGCGGTCTTGATTCAGATTTGCGTCGATCGCTTCTCTATCAGCACGATAGATTACAGAGCTATATTTCTAGCTGGAAAAAATAAGGGGTCACTGGGTCAAGCCTCAAGTAACAACGTATGCTACCCAACAAGTGTGGTTGAATCGAGAACTTCGTTTGAAAAGTATCCTGCATCAAATTTTCAATACATACCGTTTAGCTTGCACTTTTGCAAGTTTACTATTGATACATCATTCGATAGTCGACCTAATGACATTTCATATAATCTTTTGCGGAAAGACATCGCTGAAAGGTCTTGAATCGTGCTTTTGCAACAGCGTATCCTCTGGTTCCTAGTTCTTGCGTTTGAAGATCAATGAAAAAAAGCAATTTTTTTTTATACGCCACACTATGGACTTAACATTAGGGCATAAGTGCCATGTTGATGATGAGCTCATACGAGTTAACGTACACGTCGATTTTTCTCCTAATATAACCCCAATAGCTCAGCTTTTCATAATATATGAAACATTATGTTAAATATAGATCTTTGCGGTGTTACATTTGACCGATTTGTTATACAATTATTTCGATAAATTTCTGTAAATGACCACATGAGAGTTTTGTATTATACGCACTCTAGTGCAAAAATAACAACAGTAAGAAATGCTGCAGGAAATTAGGAATAATAATGAATTAATTACTTTGAAAACGGTGTAACCTCTACCGTTTTCCGAAAATTTGTTAACCGCAACACAAAAAAGTCTACTATTGTATGAAATTTCTGCAAAAAATAGGACAGTCGTTTTGACGAACAATATAATTAATTCATCGAACAGTTTTTAACACTCTTTAAGTTAAAAGGTATTTTTTTTGGTCAGTAACTTTTTGGCGAAGGTTAGCTAACTTGACGAAACTGCAAATACACTTTCGATTCGTGTACTTAATTTGGGTAGATCGCCTGGCCAGGTCTACAGCAGTGCAGTAGTCAAGAAACAACGGGGCAAAGCAACGAAGTTCTATTGCAAATCAAGATTCAATACTCTTCCAAGTCAATTATATTGAACAAGTGTACGTATTTCTTACAAGTAGCGAAAATGAACTTATATGGCCCTTGTACTTCATTCAAACCTAGGTTTTCCAGAAATTTTTAATTCAACTTCATATTCTAACTTAATTGTCGTTAAACCTATTTGGTAAGATTTTGTTTTGAATTGGATGAGTGAACTGAAGTTCCTGTAGATGTTACCTGTAGAAGTTACCATCTTGAAGCCTTCGCTATGTGTGCGTCATATGTTCAGCGAGATCGATTCGTACTACAGCAAAAAAAACTTCGTTCATTAACAATCATGAGCTACTTACAGCGCATATCTGTATAATGTCTAGATAGAAAAAAATCAAACTCTAACTCTCTCGAGTTAGGAACGCATGTCGTCAAGTGTTTGTCTAAAAGAAATGAACTAAAAGTACCACCAACCTTTATTGGATTTGACGCTAATTATAGACAAAATTTTTCATACACGAACACTTTTTTTTTTATAAACGAAACAATTTAAACATTGTATGAATATTAATTGTTATTACTAGTTATGATTTACGCCAAAAAGGTCACTTAACCCCATAGAAACGAGGAATAGACCGATCAAGAGCCAACATGGGAATTAGCCAGCTATTCAGCTATATTCGCAAGAAAAAACGATGCGTATTCTAAAAACCAACGAAGAGATGATGAGTGACCAACAATGTATTAAACAACAATAACAATAAGCTAAACAACATAGGTGTTCGTTTTGTAGCTTTATCAAGACGTTTGGGTGGAATTTGACAAACTTTCCTGCTTTAAATAGATAGTTTTTTTTCAAATTTTTAATGCAATATGCTGCCTAAAAAAAACATCGAATTCTGTTGGTTTTAGAACATGGCATAATGGATAGCTCAGCGAAAATCCGAAGCCGACGTAATTCTTCGTTAGTTCGAACAATCAAGAAATATCTCAATGGATTGATCGTCGAGAACAAAATAACAAAACCCCTAGGAACGATCATAGCAACACAAAATGATTATCTCAAACAGGAGTTTGGTCCCCGTGTTGATTGTTCCAACAAGGTATCTAATTTTTAAAAGCATTACCTATAATCGATTTATTGAGCGTGAACTTCTACTTGTTTAGCTATTGTTCAGTTGTACCACTAATAATTACAGAATTCCCTTATAATTAGGCACTAGACTTTTATTTATAATACGAAAAAAGACAACACTGGCTCAGTGTATTAGATACCTAACTTGTGTTATTTATATACGTTGCTTGTATGGAATTCTATTCACGACAGTCACATGGATATTGCGGATTACGAAGTAGGACTTTAATAACAATAATACGTTAGCCATTATGATACATTCGTTTTATATAGATCATTTTAGCACGCGAAAGTACACTGATAGCAAATATTTTGGTACTTGTAAATGTGACTTATCTCATTGCTTAGATTTTTTCGTCAGTAATTTTTTTTAGGTGTCTTTACCAAATTCCTAACCTATATTTTCTGCTTCATATTACAGTATACTTCGCATACATGTAATGTTACCGTCCCGTTCATGCAGAAGTCATCATCTTTAACTCGTCACTTCACCATTAGGAGTAAAATTAAAGATCGCAACCAACTGTCACATGGAGTTCGTATTGCGTTCGAAATTCTTAGAGCACATTAGACAATGTAATGTTACGGTCCCTTCGTTCTTTCAGCGATGTCGCTAATAGAAATTCCATTTTTCAGAATGAAGTATCGACACATTCTCATAGTGTCACCGAAATCGATCGGAAAAGATGCGCAATTTTATGGTTAAATCCTCCAGTAATACATAATTGGTGTATTAACCTCCGATCACGTTGGGGCATAGTATTTTTTTGCAATTTGCGATTTGATAACAATTTTTTCGATCTATATTCACAGTCTCTGCGAATAGTCGAAACCGGGTACAAGGAGCTACCGAATGAAAACGTTCAGGAAAAAATATGGCCGCGCTTCGATTACCGTAAGCATTCGTCGCGATTAGCTGTAGTTAAGCTCAAGCCTTCGAAATCGATTAATAATAAAAGTAGTAGTACTGAGTGAAGTCTGGTCGGATTATTGAGCCTACTCTTTTATCTGTCTGTAAGTGACCAATGACGCCGAAAAAGTCAACGACTTGATGCAAATGAAACATCTCAAGTATCGCATACCACAATTTTTACCTATTATATGATTTTGTTGCGACCTGTTATAGCTTCAAGATAAACTTTTCAAAATTATGAAAGCTTCGAACGACGTAGAACTCTGTATCAGCATACGACACACTGGCGCAAACTTTGGCAAGCGGAGAACAGCTACTTGAATGATGGCAAATTTATTTCACCGACTCCTTTGTTTGGATTTTAGATTTGTAGGTTGCATTAACCAGGAATTTATTATTAACATGAGTATTTCAGTACTTCGCTAACAGCAGTAAAATTAAAAAAAACACGCAAGGCAAATAATAAAATTACACTGAGAAGTACTATCATAAATGTTACATACAAAATATGTTTATTAATCTAATACGCCTCAATTTCCGAGCCTTGACATGCCCGTCGTCACTTCGATGTACATAGGATAGCGTATTTCGATTATTCAACCAATAGTGATCTACACAATCTCGCTATATATTGTAATACAAAATTGAGCACTTATATTCTTCCGTTTTAATTATACAATTTTTCATTGTGTTTTGCTCCGATTATGAATATTTCTTATATATATATATAATATATATATATATATATATTATATACGAAAGCCTTATTCATAGAGTTGTGCTCAGACGAAAACTATTTCGATGGAAATGAACCCATAAGGCAATTAAGCTTCTCCTTGAATACTTCGAGATCATCTATTTTCTTCTTTGCGATCGTAAGCTGCTCTCTTGTCGTCACCAACTCCCGTTGAAGATTTTGGCATTCCGTTCGCTGTAAAAAATTACATTAGAAACGAGCAAACGTCGTATGCCCCGTAGCATTGATCACAAAAACTAACTAATTGTTTCATACATAAAATGTATTCAGCTCGCGAAAAAGCTCATGATACTAGCTTAGTGCCAAGTTAACTAGGTTAAGGATTTATCTTGGTCTCGCATAGGTCCTCAAAGGTTTTTGTGATCAGTGTTAAGTTGGCCTTTGAACGGTCCACAATTTACGGTACTCGAATATTCATCGATTGCAATTAACACAGAGCTAAGTAAGTATCGTAAAAAACAAAAATATTTGCTTTTGTTATTACTGTTCAAAATGTAATATTCTCATCAATGAAGCTTCGGTGTAACTAGATCTGTCCGTGTACCCATAATCCATCTCATTTGGAACTATGAACGTTTTGGCTCATATGGAACTATATCATATCATGCGGTTTCAATGGAAGTAAAATGTTAATATTTATGAGACATATAATTATTGTCGCTAATCGCTGATCAAGACTTTTAGCTTCTTGAACTGATGTATAGACACAAATAAGGAGCTCAGTGTCGTATAGCTAAAGCAATTCATTTTTTGCGAAGGTTTCGACTCCAATACCCCCGCAATATACAATGACACCGATAGCATGGTAGGCATCCATTCCAAATTTAGCGGGTAGTGATATGATACACATGCTGAGCAAATGTAGTGAGCTAAAATTAGGCATCTAAACAGTGAAAGCAGTTACTGAGTCTCCTCTATGGATCGAATTCAAGAGCTTACGGCTCTGGGTCTACCTACCGCGGAAGGCTGAAGCAAATGCAACAGCAGTGAATGCAAGGCTACCTTTTTATCTCCTTCAGAGCGTAATTTTTCCACATCCCGGCGTGTTTGTTTCAGGGCTGTCATTGTCTCCTCATTTCGCGTTTTTAGTTCCGCTGTCTCACTAACAGCAGCTAGAAACAAATAGTTGCTATAAAAGTTAGTTCCAGGTAGAAAAAGAGCATGCTGACCTCATATCGAGCTTGTATATATATCCTTTCTGTATTCACGTAAGTCGTGTAATATGTTGTCGTGTAATATGTTTCGCTAGCAGGGCTTGAAGCAGCGACCCCTGGTGTCTTTCAACAAGAACTTTGATCGTTTAAGTCATCGGGCCGATATTTATTTTTCCATTATACCTTATCAGATTGCTGTTGGCTTTTTTTCCTAATCTCTCGTTCATTGATGTTTTTTTCTGTTTTCTGGCTTTCAGTTCATTGCTGATAAGCATGATATTATTTTATCAAGTATCAGGATTATCACATTGTAAAAAAGAAATCCCTTTCACGGCCTAGATACGACATTTGCGGTTCAGAATATATACATATGTACCAAGCTGGTGAATGAAAGATCTCACAATGATTCGTTAATCTTCGAAAATATTCTTATTAAAGATGCTTATACTTTTGTCTCACGTAGCTCCACTGAGATGGCTCTATGTGGATCATTAGCAAATCTGTACGCAAAAGTCGCTCATGCCTAGAAGCTATGACGCTGAATCTTAAATTATCCAAGTACTAGTACATCTTGCGACTATCCTTTGTTAGAGAAGTCGTTGAAACTGTAACTATGTACGTATTATTTCCCAAGGTCAACTAAACAGATCTAAAACCTGTGTCGCTATCGTGGTCATCTATGATATGGCCCGACTGTACGACTTTACCTTAGTCTGGCCCATATAGCCCTGAAAGTAGTAATATATAGAACCCAACGTAATCACTCCTATAAAACTTATAGATGATATTTTTTTATTTTAGAGGATAAAACTGGTTTAACAAACATTTGATGCAATACAAAATAGTATTTTCGTAGGCCAAATAGCATCCTTTTGATATCTGTTCTGAAAAATCCTGTAACTTCCTGTAACTGACATCATGCTAAATTCGCATTATCTCATTGAAAATTATTGAAAAAAGCTGTACTAACGTTCTAATGTATTTTACCCGTCACTATCACTTGATTTAGTATTGTAAATCAAGTGATAGTGATGATTTCGAAAAAATATACTGCTTTATAAAAACGCATAGTGAAACACATCTAGATAACTTTATAAGGACATACCAGTCAGCCGGCCCTCGCATTGTTCGAGTTCGTTCCTCAGCTCTGAAAAAATTAATGAGATCGTGCTATAATAGCAATTTCAATTTCATTGTGTACAATACTGTAAATATTAAACTGCATTATTAGACTATAAAAAGTAAGTTAGCGTAAGTAAGCGACACCATAATATACATTTCAAATAGAACTTGAATGAAAAGTTTTTTTATTTAACTTGTCGCTAGCTAGGACTACACATTTTGCTCTGTTTTGACTCGCCCGACGAAATGGTTATATTAGTGATATGGCAAACTTGAAGCACTTATGCACTTACAATGACATGTTTCCCCCCAAATATCCGTAGACGCTATATCCTTATCACTTTCTGAATTTATTAGAAAAACAAGCAGAGTAATAAAAAAAAATATGCTACTACTTATTATTATTATTATTAAGTTTGGTAAAATAATACGGCCCAAATAGCTGCTATTGATATATTCTGCGTAACTGTCGGAACCGGAAGATCGTGTGATTATTTAAACTAAGCCATTACACCAAACTATATATATACATCATCCAAACTAACGGTTTTTTTTTATATATTGTTTCGCACGTCTATGCTTAGTATACACATTAGCGCTACCCAGTATATTCTGCGACTTTTGCAATCTAACCGAAGTGTGTTTGGGCCTGCTTAGACTGAACCAAAGTTTTGAGCTAGCAGATGTTGCAGAAGTTGTTCTATCAACTCCTTGTATTAGCCCCGCTGGCCCATGGAAATTGTCCTTGTTATCCCACTGCACTGGTCTCTGCCATAAGGCCGGTTCCTAAAATGAATAGATCTTGAGTCTTTGCTATCCCGCTGTCCTACTTCAGCAATTATATCACAATTTTTCAAAATTTCTGTGAACTGTTTTTATCCTGAAGTTGCCTAAATTCAGATAGCCTATTCGCACGTTCGTACTTTATGGCCCTGAACCAAGCGTCTCTACTTCTGCGTCCATTATGCCGTACTCCGGCTGCCGTTGAGCCGTCACTGTGCTACCGTTCATTCCGTCATTCACCCTCTTTTGACTATTTCGCTGTTTCAAGGTGAAAAGCAAAACTGACGTTAAATTTCAGAGATGAGGCCACTTAAGAGACCACGTGGGAAAGGAGTATGAGACCACTAACATTTTTCCGAAACGTTTAACCGTTGCCTGAGGGAGGCATATTCAATCAACCCGATATCAACACATATAAAAACCGAGCATTTAGCTATTTTGAAAATGTTTAACCGATAGTGAGGTAACTGTCGAAAAAATATATATTCACATGGATGTCATTGAAATTTGCAGTTAGGTTTTTCATAAACGAGATTTTGCATAAACGTTTATTTATCTAGAGATAACCTCTTCGTTATCATAGTTATGCTTTTTAGTCAGGAGAGGACAAGCTGAATTAGGCCTCCCCGATTTGCGGATATTGGAGACGGTCACTATATTTATACAATGCAGACATACGTACAAGTTCGCCTTCGCTCGCATTAACTCGAAAGTTAAAGATAAAACAAGATTAAGTACTTCTACAAGTGTTCAACATATTTTTGAAATGATCTAATAGTACATATGTTTCAGGATGAGGCATGTGTTAAAATGTGGAAGTTGTTAATTGAAAAAAAATAAATGTCTTTTTACGATGTAACAATAATTATTCGTTTCGGTATTGCTCCGTATAATCATATATTTGTGCTAGTATATTTCTGCGTCTCGATAGCAGCTTTTCTCTCCGCTTTTAATGGTATTTATACCTCACTTCATTAATAATAAGTGGCATTAACTACCATATAATGAACTTATATCAACAAGCTACATACCTGTGACACGTTTTTCAGTAACACAGATTTGGGTCTGCAAAACCTTCGCCTCAGCGATCCTCCGGCTGCTTTCAAGCGCTTCCTTGGCAACTTGTGCTCGCATTTTTGATACGGCCTCTTCCTGATCGCGTAGCCGGATTAATGCAGATGTCAAACTGCGCGTGGCAGCATCCCGTGCAGCCTCAGATGCATTAAACTTAGCCTCGGCCATGATGCAATTGGCACACGAGGCACCTTCAGGTACCGGCGGTTCTGCGGATATTATTTTACTGTTTACCGGTAGTCGAAGCGATTGCTGTTGAGGACAAAGGAGCAGCAGAGCGACTATTTTGTCTTCCGCGGAGTCACCTTGAAGAGCGTATTCAATGTAATGATGAAGACTGCCATCGGCCAATGCCTCTTCAACAAGTGGGTGTCGAATGAACCGAAGAGCAGCTGCGGGCCATATAATGGCTGGCTTATGAGCCTCTTTCAGACTTCGATAAACCTCAATGAGTGGGACGTACTATGAGAAATAAATTAAACTCTGTAAGAACTGTGTCCTCGCGCTATATGACATTTTAGCACAGACGTGTCCCTACAACGCTAAAAGCCTAGTGTCGCAGTATATCAGATAATGCAAATAGAACATAAAAGGTATTTTTTGAAAGCTTCAGGTGCAATGAATACAATGCGCCCTTATAAACCAGGAATCTAGTGTTGATAACGCAAACACTTCTTACTTGTGCCAAGTTGAAATCGTTGCATTGAATCGGTATATATAGAATTTTCGTCAAAATTAATTACATGTTTTTGTATTGAACGTGTTAATAGGTACAAAAAGAAGAATATAACATGCAGTCACCTCTGTTTGAGTTCAGTCCTCGAGAAAGGATAAAGCTCAGTAAACGAATAGTTTTACCAATAGGGTCATGGTACGTCGATATTCATTTTCATGTTAAAAGCTTAAAGCTACGAAAAAGGTGTCTCAGCAGATACGGTCAAATCAGTTAATTGAAATTAATTATTAGAAAGGAAGCAAATAACAAAAAAGTTGACTTAATCACGCTTGATTCTTTCAATTTAAAATGAAATAGCTTAAGTAGCCTTCATTTTGGCGGGAGACATATGGGTTAGCGTTATGAAGCAAAGCTTGCACTCTTTCATTCATTTTATTGTTATTTTAGTTAGATTATCTGTTACTGTCATAATAACTGCTGGATATAGCGACCATTAACCATAATTCACGGTTAATGCCGATAAAAAAGACTGGTATGTTTTTCAAAGATATCAAGTACTAGCAAGGCTATTCTCGCGATCGAATTTAGTTATTATTAGATTAGATATGCATCGGTAATGGCTGCGGAGCCAACTGATTCAGCGTATTTCGATGCTGCTGTATGTGCCAATATAAAAACAATAGTTGAAATTGTCTGTTTAGCTTAGGCCAACCCATTGATTCATCGCTGAAGTCGGTCGGCTGCAAGTCTCATTTTTCCATCTTAAAAACAAATGACGTGGCAGTATAACTCCGATTTTTGTTTTGCGTTAATAATTTTTAATGAAAGAACTTTTGTCGATAAAAACTACTTGATATCTTCGAAAACATATTTTGTCGGTACGAAGTGCGTTAGTGTTAATAATAGTAACTTCAAGCAGCTACAAGTTTTCCTTTACAACCTATTTTCTATTTTCACTTCACAACAGAGGTATGATTTCTTAGACAATTATGCATTTCCGAAAAAGATATCTCCTGAGTCACTTTTTTCATCTCGTAATTTTTATTAATAAGTTAAGTTACAACTATCGACGCCGTGGAAATGTGTAGTTTACTGAACGCATTTATCCTCCCGAAAATCTGCTTCGAGTTTAGAAATGCTTCGGTTTTATGATATTTACCTTCTGAAATTGCTCTGTTTCGGTTTCCTCATTTTTATAACAGCCAAAAAATTCTACCAGTAACGCGGATGTTTCTAAGCATGAGAAACAAAACCGTATAATTTCCGTGATGATTTCGTTACCACGGGACTCGATCAGAGTGTCAACGATTGATGTCAGCAAGTGCAAAGGGATGGCCTCCTTGGGACTGATGGAAAACACTTTGCCATATATCTACCAATAACAAAGAAAATTGGTAGTTAGGCAACAACTTCCAAAGCTTCAGAGGCAGACTTTTCGCAAATATTTGGTCTTATTTATATTCGTCTAAGATTTGTCAAATTTCTTAAGAGTTAGTGGGACTTTCAGCAATTTCCTCTATTCAGAAGAAAAATAACTCTCAGCATCAGCATCGCATAAATTTAACATTGTGTGTTAAATGTAACATTTAACACGTCCTGTATATCGAAGACACGACAACTAAGTTCTACTTGAATATCATAGAATATGATGGATTGATGTTTTCATTAGCACCACCACTAAAAACCCTTCATCTATATTGATATCACGTAATTGGTCATTCAAACAATCAAGTCGAGGATAAAACTTTCCTTCGTTTCTTATATTATATTAGTACATTTTCGTGAATTTATTAACAAATTAATCTACTTATTTGTTTTTATATCTACACATAACAGAACAGGTACGTTGTTGTACCGTATCATATCCATGAAGGGCCGATTGCTTAAAAGACAAACTATCACTGACTCATCTAAAACGATTTGTTTAACTTTACCAATTATTCTTACTAGCATAGGTCACACACATTGTTTCTAGCAGAGTGAAGAGGTCAATATTTTCTCAACTATTCATATACAAATTGAATAATATTTACATAAAGTTTACCTCAAGAGTGTCCGCAGGAAATTTCACTGCAGTCATCTGAAGAATACTTCTAAAAGTGGCATCATCACGGCTTGCGTCTTTGAAGAGTTGCCGAATGATATTAGCATACGGCAACGATGAGACAACTTTCATAAACGAAACAACCTCACGACTCAGAAAGGCTGGCCTGTGCTTTATTATCTAAAAGCATACAGAGTTCGAAACAATATACAATGACGACCTAAAGAATTCATTTTGGGCTCCATTGACTAGAACGTTGTAGCTGTATAACGTAAGTTACCACCATTATTATGCAACAACGGTAATGTTGCACTTTCGTTGTGAGATAAGACAGTCATATATTTGATATTGACTGATTCATATTGGATATTAATCCATATTCACATGTATCGCGTGGTTGCATGGTATATATTGTTTACGATATTTGAAGCAATGACCCCTCCAAGATAATTAGCAAATTACCATGTCAACATACATTGCTTCATATCAAACGTACAGATAAATCAAATAGTATTGGTTCGGGAGTAACTAACCTTGTCCAAAGAACTTCATTGTTACCAAAGAATCTATAAAATACATCAAAGATTTTATTACCTTTTGATGGAATTTTTCCACAAGGCCGGACCCAGTCAATATTTCTGGAGGAAGTACATCCCCAAGCACTCTTGCATTGTGCAGATAGGACCTAAGTAATAATAGTAGCGTGGTTTTATATATGCATATATATATATATATATATATATATCAATAAGAAGAAGTGTCCATCCGATTGAGTTAATCACGAGTAAGATGTATTATCGTGTAAGGTATACTGTATTACAATCGATACCCTGGTCCCTAAGTAATCGATTCATTAGCTGAGTTATGCACATGTTGAACAGCAGAATGAATAGGTGAAGCCACTGTTAAGCATCATAAGATACGTGCAAGAGATAAATGAATTTCCAAAGCAAGTTAATGCTTTTTTGTGAAAGTGGATAATGACATCTATTGGATATAGCACTTAACTTCTTACATAGCTAGCTCATAATTACGCATTGTTGTGTGCACAGAACCTGTTTAGTATTACCTTAAACATAATAATGCTGGCAGGTGTAGCGGAGTTTCCTTGTTTACGTTATCTTTCACCAGTAAACTACACGCATGCGTAAGAAGAGTAGTTAGCTCTCGCGTTGCGGAATCGATGGCCCTGCCCATTACAATAGATGCCGAAAGCAGCTGCAGTTCGTCTGTAGTGGCACCCGTATCCACGGTTTCCATTAATTCGACCACGGACTGCTCCAAAATTTTCGGCAACTGGATACCACCTGCGAGAGTGAAGACTTCGTCTGGCTTTACCAAAGTTAGTATCGAAGAGTATTGCTGTAAGTTTTCGAATACCCTTATAACCTCTCTCTATGCAAGGCACAGCAAGTTTGGTCGCGTCCTAATACTTCTCTCATCCTTTTAAGTGATATTTTGAGCTATATTGTACTTCTTAATTCAGTCCGCAAATTCCTTCATTTGCGGTCATGTAAAAGCATGTCCATCGAAGACTTTCGACCCTTTTATGCGCCCGCAAATTTGACTTGGCAGGTACCAGCGGATAAGAACCTCAGAAAGAGACTACGATATATTATGGACAAATATACAGATATTACTATAGACAAATAATTCTACGCTGCATACAATCAATTAAAAGCAGAGTATTTTCCTCGGAACCAAAAATTGAAATATTTCTTTATTTCTCTTATTATGTGATATTTTAACTCAGTCTTTACTGTCTTAGATATATGAGGCTTAATAATATTATAATTACACTTCCTTATTCTCGTTGCATTTGATAAAGGTATGAGTTAAGGCGTTTTTAACTTGTTATCAAACATGTCAGCAGAATCTTTGGGGAAATTTTCTATCAAAATAAGAGCAGGTGTACGTGCAACCCCGTCCCCCTTGTCGCCGTTTTTTGTCCAAAATACCTGCTGTTGCGAGGTTAGCTAGTGCGAGCAAAGTCAGATCGTCAGTCGAATCGTACAGCGCTATAAGCGTATCTTGAGCTGTCTGAGACAGCTTCACGTAGCAGACATCGAGAACGAGGTGCGTCAAAGCCTCAATAATCAGTTGCTTCTTTCCTCTTCGGTGGTCGACGTCGCTGTCAGTGCTTGGGCGATGATAGAGCAGGTTTAAGAACTAAAAAACATTGGAACAATTTCAATAGACGCTTAATACTATTCTATCATTGAAATGAAATCGATGACGGAACGAATCAAAATCGTGTTAGCATTAACTATATCACAATACTGGCTTTCTTCAATGCGACTCATTATATATGACGGATGATGAACATCACTAATTATTGCGCTGCTAGCTATTATTTATCGTTTCCATATTATGCACTGAACACCCTGTCGTAAACCTATAGCCACAAGGTCGATTTAACCAAAAAATGTAATAACACAGCTTTCTACAAACCAGTCCATTCGCGACAGATTCTTTAGTATGGGTAGCGGTCCTAAACGAGCCTTTCATTTCAAGTAAGGAACGCGACGCAACCGCTTGTAGAGAGTTGCTGCCATCATGAACGCTTCCTTCTGATACTACTGACATGGCGGCTAGCATCTATTTAATAGAGACAAAAGCGAACTGTGACGTAACGTTTTACTAGAATCTAAATGCTGAAACATTGCAATATAATTTAGAACTCATTCAAAAACTGTACTGAGAGACGCATAGTCTGGCTGAGTATTATATTAGTCATCATGATTCGGTATCGTGCACTAAGCTATCATTCATGAATAACAAAATAAAAGTACAGCTTACTCTTTAAAACCTACACACTAATAGGTTAATAACTTCTCTCCGTGTAGGTGCAGTAGTCCTTTGCTTTTCTACTTAACTTAGAGGCACATGATGTGGCCTACTTTTTAATCTGGGCCTAGACATACGTCGACCTTCCAGTAAAAACTCGCACAATGGGAAAGACCATGGTGAATAATATTGTCAAATCCCTTCTCCTGCTCGGTCCTTCCAGTTTATTCACATTGAGTCCCCTACCCTGCTAGGTCCTTGAAGCGATGCTAAACAAAATAGCAGAGGCCTGTCGGATGAGGGACGGCTAACAGTCAGATATGAAAGAAAGTTATTTAAGTCACACACTGATTATCAATACTTGTTGGTCAGTAATGAAACAATAGTTTCGTTAAAATATTAAAGGTACGGTGTTCAACACCGGCCATATTATAACTGTCGCAAATACCATTTTTCAGAATTACGTCAGTCTTATTGTTAATTAAAACCCTTTCTAGCTGTTCTTTATTCAAATCTTGCTGGGTTGTAGATTTCTATGTATACACATTTGTATAAACATTTTTCATTATTAAGTAGTATCGTTTAGCTTTTTTTAATCAGAATTAAGTTTTAGAGAATTAAACCATAACGTTCTCTAGCTAACATTATGCTCTACCAGAAGAATTTGTGGAATTATTACTTCGTTGAGCTCGGAAGGGAGCAACGATTTGCTCCACGCAAAATCCCGCATTAATATTTATGTGCAAGGGAATTATCTGCAATACGATTCCCATGAACCGTTATACTTGACGCCTAACTCACCCCTTAAAAGTAAATTAAAAAAAGGGAAAGGGCCGGCCATGTATTCTTGTTGTTCCGCTTTAAATATTGATCCTTATATGGTAGCTGCAAGGAGCTCCATTAGAAACAGCATTTTCCATTTGTTTTTCTCTTACATTCCACCAGCCGGCACGAAAAAAGAATCGACAATGGCTTTGTTGGTAAATAACGTCTAAGCTTTATAGGACTTGACAGATTTCTATTGATAATTAATTGTTGCAGTTGATTACATGCAATTGTTTCACATTAACATTTGAAAATATCCAACGAACGCAGAAATAGAACTCTTTCAGTAAAAACCTATTATGTCCTAAATAAGCAGCTATCCTATCTAACGAACTCAGGATACGTATAGACAGAGAGATGCATAAAACGTGCATGCGGAACCACTGCGGTTTTGAGTCGCGAAGATCTGCACGCGGTAATACAACCTTATCTTCTGACGAGCCGAAACTCGTCCGCTTTACTTCACTCTCCTCTATTAATTTTAGGCTAATCAGGCTGCGCACGTATTTCTATTAACACATACTTGGCCACTACAAGGTCGTACAGCTTTGTTATGCCCAACACGCCGAGAGATACTGGACACACGTCACACATTTATATGAACGCGCGTCGATAGTGAGAAATTAGTCATACTATTCAGGTCACGATCACACCGTATTTAAGATGCGACAAATAATAATTATAAAAGAAACAGTAATTACCAAAGAATTCGGAATTACACAAATTATAAATAGAACCAGTAGAGTGTATTATCCTTATTAATATGCGATATTACAAGCCCGTATTCTAATAGTCTGTCCTGTCACTATAAATAAATACATCCGTTTAGAGCTACCGTTAAATAGGGTTTTCTTTAACATAGGAATAATTATTTGACTTTTCTCACCTTATATGTAAGTAAATGATTATCTTTTGCTAGATAGTGCACTTATCACAGCCAACGGAAATGTAGTTGAAACATAACCCTCAAAAGATTAACAATTATAAGAATATATAAGAAAAGACAATTATAACTCACACAGCTCCTCTTGAGGCCTTTTATTGGCGAAAAGTTCCCGTCAGCTGATGACGATAACCTGGAATGAGTTCGTACCACTTCGTCCACCGTACGAAATTTCGATGGGTTTCTGGTAAATACAGAAAGGATGGAGCTTAAACAATATTTACTTCAGCGAGCCCGCCATATGGGTTTACAGATGAAACGGGTCAATGTCAACAAAACAGACTTGCAGACGCTTTTTTAAAAAAAATGCTTGAGGAACTCTCTCTTTTAACGTTGCAGCAGTGTCATAAACGGGGCAAACGGCGATTGTTAAAGCACTTCAACTAGCATCGACAACATTTAGCAAGCGATAGCATAAAACAGTACACGGCCTTTCGATGTGATTGCTTCAATTACGATATACCCAGTATAATGTATGCTGACGGCGGCAGCAGTGCTGCAACGCACGGATTCAGAATTTTTATGTCGACCTTAATAGTTGCCAATAAAGTAAAAGTGTTTTCATTCATCGAGCCTACGTAACAGCCTTTGAAGTATATTTAATAGCATTATCTTAGTAAGACACACCTGCGTTTTTTAAATAATTGTATTTTGATGAACTGCATTCGCCGAGGTCATTCGAATCTATTTTGAATAACCTTTAGCTAACGCGAAAAAGGTAATAAACTTATCAAGAAATAATTTTCTGAAAGTATAACACATCTGTATAACACTACCCCTATTATCGTAGAATACGGACGTCATGTTTTAGGCCTTTTTTACTCTCTAAATTTTTTTCCCTGCACCGACTTGAACAACCTCCCTGTTTTATACTTATTGTTATTTCGTGTGTGTTATCTAGCCGTAAGTTACTAGATGTGTCAAACAAGCATTAATAATACTCAATTTCTACAAACATTGAGCATAGAGGATACTAACTGAGCAAAACTGGAAGAGAAGATTTTAATATGTTCAGTCCAATATTAGAAACTATCATGTTACTGGAAGCTAAGATATCCTACTCCATTTCATAATTGTATCAACAGTGCTATCCTGTACATCAATTACTTATTTATTGCTTCTTTCCGAATAAATGATAGAGGTCGATTACGATCTCTTCATATTCTTGCATAAGAATAACGGCCAGTGGCATAACATACAAGTATATAGTATGGCTTATGCAGGCAGCATAAGATTATATATATATATATATAAATGGCTATCTTTATATGTAATTAAGCAGAGACAAGAGACCGGGTTTATTTTCAATATGTTACTTTCAGTGGAGACACAGACCAGCTAGTAGGGGCAGTGATGTACCGGCCTTCCATCTGTTTGACATACTTCTTATATTTCTTGACTCAATAAAACTAAATATTTTAAATTTGTATTGAAGGTCAAATTACCGGAAACATTAATATTTACATATATATTAAATAAGTAGTCGTAATGCAAATTGAACTGGTACGAGTGCTGCAGCCAGTGGCGTCCTCTTCCGACTACACTAGGAAATTTCTGCCACTTGTATCTATCTTTACCCTTTCCTTCAATGCCGCTTCCCTCACTCATGTCCTCGAATCGTCTGCTTGAAACTGTTGTTGCTTCCGTGGCTGATATTAGCGTTGCTGTTTAATTCGACGGCTGATGTTGGCAGAGCGAGCGGTAACTGAGCGGTACAGTGATGGTGGTCGTGCTAACTAATCGTTTCTAATGGTGTTCGTCAGTCAATCAGCCGCTCCTTCGCTCAGTCGAGATCGAGAGGAAGTTGAATCACTGGTAGAAAGGTGCTGTCAAACGAGCAAACCACTACCGCCATTATAGATATTCTTAATAACATTGTTATTAGTGGGATGATGATGAGCGCTGCTCTAAAGTCAGTCTCGTTGGATAAATGCTGCTTGTTGCTGGGTTCTAGAGTGTTGTGCTGAATTGGGGGGTGGGGATGGCGGCGACAGCGGTAGCAGAGCAAAAGTAGCACTATCTCTGCTGGATCTATTCGGCGACAGAATGCGGATGGACAGACGTTATTTCTTACTCACCTAAGTTGGCATTCTCGCCATCGTCGACCTCTCAAATTGACTAATTCGCTTGATCGTTTCATTTCTGGGGTAGTTTTGTCGATGGTGGTTCGTTGGAACAAATCAAGGAACCGTGGAGTCACCGCTTGCGTTGGTCAGCCGGCCGACAAACTCAGCAGTTCTGACTGACTGCTTTCACTACGTGTGTGGGCTCCGCTATTTACAAATTAGCTCATAACCGGCTCTCGGCCCACTCCTTGTCCACCCAACTAAGTGGTACAAATTGTTGTTGTTGTCGTGTACTGAGAGGCGGAAGTGGCCGTGATTGGGTGGTCCAGTTCTGAGATTATATTTTTTTCAGTTGCTGTAGATCGACAATCTTCAGATCCTGTTCAATGGCCAGTGGTCTGAGCAGCTGGAAAGACGATAAATTGACGACTTTAATGGAATTTTGTGTCGGCTGAAACATCTTCATCGTTGCACTGGTGTCTGCAGTTATTAGTGCTCTCTGGGGACTCATTTCCCCAAACCCCGCTGTTTTTGTCTCCGTCGTATGGCCGATTGCTGCTGTTGTTCTCTTTGATTTGTGTCCACATTTCCTGAACTGTGCTATATGCTGGAAGTGCCTGTCTGGCTATCTAAGTAGCTAATGGCATTCGATCTGTGCTCGATGACTTTTACACGTACACGTCTAATCGTGAAGGTACATCGCATGATACGAGAGTGACAAATGCTGATAGCATATATACGAAAAGAAAGGTGTGTTCTACGAAAGAAGAGATATATTAGGTCACAACATTTTCGAAAGATACCAGACAAGCAATCAATATAGTGACGACGCACAGGAGATTAGAGGGACAGAAAGCAACAAACCTCTTACAGGAAGGTCATAGTCATTATCAGCTGAAGTAAGGATTTCAGTAGCAATCATTGCATCAACGGTTCGTCGACAGCTCATAGCAGCTGCAAGAAACGAACACGTCCATCTACTGAAAGTAACGACACTCGTGGGTGGCCGATTGCTCGTTCGTTCAGCTGATACGGCAAAGAACTCGGTTTGGGTGACCAAGACAGAAGAAGAAAGGATATCTGTTTATTCCAGCTTCACGTTTTACAGATCGGATAGAGACTACGACACGTTACGCCAAAGGTCAGCTTGATCAGGGATAGAGGAGAGACCTCTGATGTGCGTTCCGGCCAGCTAATCGTATTGCAATATTCCGCGTCGCCGTCAGCGTCGTCCATCGTTCTCGTCGGCGGCGACGGCGGCGGCGGCGGCAGCATTTTTCGATAGGCGCAAATGCCATATGCTATTTATTGTATAGGGGCGGATTTATGGATAACCGGTCCACAGTGGATAAGTGTGTGTGCTGCTACAATAAATGACAACGAGCACTAAGCGACTCCTTTATAATCTTAGCAACTACTACAGCTAATATATATATATATATATATATATATATATATATATATATATAAACGGTGACTTTTCACGACAGCAACGGTTCCAGGTAGCTTGTTAAGAAACGATATAAGCGTTGTTATCCTACGACCGCCCGCCCGTCCGCCCGCCCGCCCGCAAGTTAAATACATCGAATGAAAATTTTAAAGCACATATGGAAATATGTCGTATATCCTTCATTAAAATAGCCTAGATGCATTACCTACTCATTCACATCACTTAATGACATTGGCCCAAAGAGGGGAAGATCCATAGCATCATGTAAGAAGAGAAATCTGCAACAAATGACGAATGTGACGTCCAGTGTACAAAAGAAATAAAGCTTTTATTAGCAGTAATTGCCACAAGTAGCTGAAATGAGTTTGGATTAAACAAATATGCAGCAAGCCAGTCAAAACTGGGCTAGAAATAAATCGCAAGCTTTTATTAATAAGCATAGTGGTCTGATCAGTAAACAACGTTTTTAAAAAAGTATCGTTACTCCGGAAATAATCCGAATATACAAAAACACCTTAATACTCAAGTAATAATAATAGATCAGCTTTTCATGATGATCAACACAAGGTAGCAGATATCATGAAAGTGGCAGTATTTGTCCGTCTCCGCCGTAATCAAATACAACCGAGAGGATGCAACACGTAATACTTGTACAAACAAGTTAGCATTCAATAAGATGTTTAAATGTTAACCAGCCACATAATAAAATTTCCCAGTACTAAACCTTTAGTCTGCTGAAGCCTTACGGAACCACCTACGTTGATCTGCACGATCACTTATTGTTACACGTAATAAATTGACGATATCGACAACGACGACCTCCAGAATCACGGCCGACAGGATGTTATCTGCGCACCGTAATGCGAAGTACACGCCTGTATTAACAGCCGGGACGGCAATTAGCCTCGGTTATGGCCTAGGACGATGGCGAATCGTCCTCGCTCTCATGGCGTTGACAATGTGTGTCTGCTTCGTGATGTTTTTCTTCTTGCCTGAAAATTCGGCAATACGACAACCGATTCTAGATAAGCCTGTCAATGAATTTTTGTTGCCCAATGTCCCACATCATAGAGAGGTCGTCATGCAGCAAGACATTCATATACAACAGGACAGACAACGACTAGAACAGAAGATTCGGCGAGGTGAGAGTCTTTCCGGTGTTGCGTTGCAATTGGACCAGGCCGACGAGAGTAGAGTACAAGATAATGGAAACCGGCCGCGAGAGAATCTCCGCGAAATCGTGAATCAGCAACAGGTCGAAAACATGATCCAGAGGGTGGAAAATATCGAGAACAGTAACCGCAATGGAGCTGGAGATAACAATGGTGTTAGTGGAAATATTGAGGCCAAACGGAACAATCATATTGATGTGAATACGGGGAAAACCAGTGACAAAAAAAAAGGTTTGAGAGTGCTGCGAAGGGCAATCATAGACCCTAGACGGCAAGGCATCCCACGTGATGAGGAGACTCGACAGCGTCGCGAGAAGGTTAAAGAGGTGAGCAACAAATATGTTTGCTTGAATTTACTTACTTTGATTCGAAACAGCAGTAACACAGGTTGAATACATTGTTAGCTCTAATGGATTGTTTATAATTTTTTCGAACGTCAGTTAGTTAGCCAGTTTCTTATAATACATTCAATATGTTAAATTCAAAAACTCGCTCCGCTGTTATATTTTATTTAGTTCCAGTCTTGTAAAAAGTACACTTCTTTATGTAAAGAGTAATTTTAGTTGCTTAAAAGAGTAAAAAAAAATTATATGTTAACGGTCATTAATAATAGTCGATTTCATTTTGTTCTTTCTTTGTGTGATAACAACCGTAGAGCGCTTACTCCAGGATTATTAGTTTTACTCAAACTGGAAATCAACACCGTCTTATGGAAGTACTACCTATAAATAGGCCCATGAATAGGCTGTGTAAAAATAAATGTTTGTCACTTTACTGGAATTTTAAAGCGAGGTCACAGCTATTTGCTGTATTCCAGGTATACGAATAAACGGCAAGGTATTCATAATGACCGTAAGCTGATCAAGCAATTAAATAAACATAAAAATAGTTTTTCTGATGATGATGATTATCGTAATCTGTCCCCCCTCCATGGTAGAATTGTAACCTTAAAAACAGGCATTTCTAATACACTTATCAAAAATTGAGGTTATAAGGTGTTATTTGACATTCCAATTCATCTTAGACGGAACTTTAGTTGGTCTAGGTTTCATGATGCTTCTATCATTCAATGCTATAAATCTTAAGAACAATTCAGACGGTTACAGCTATAGGAAATATAAATGTGAATGATGCAATGCAGTCTACTATAAAGTGATCATGATTATTATTTTTGTATCTATTATAAAATGTATCACGACTTAATACATTTAGTAGCTTAAACGACATTGTGAAATGTCCACTCTGTAATTCGAATCGCCCTGCCATTATAAATACCATTGGGATATTTTGGTACCTTTCGCATCATAAAACCAACATGTCTCTGTTTCAAGAATTTATTCGCATGTCCTTAAGGCCAGCAAGCAAGCAAACTTCAGGCCTTGATCTATTTCACGGGTAATGTGTCCAATCGTAGTACGCAGTTCCCGGTATATATATTTGCACCCCTCGTTAGCCTATTGGTGGTGGCAGTAGGTGTAGCAACTAATATTTAGGTAGTATCCTTACCCTCTGCAATAGCAATATAATCCTGGTCAACAACAGGCGTGCTTTTAAGTGTTGACCTTCAAAGATCTTTGCTAGCAAAGTGTTTTATGCGAATGTTTAGGCTCGAACACGAGACTTGGACAAAAGGGATTTCGATCAGATTCCAGCTGCATTATCGTCTCAACACTCCAGTTCCTGATACCATCGGATAACAGATCTTTGCCTGTCGGTATTGACTGAGTTGGCTTCGTAAACTTAGACAGTCGAACTACGTTACAGCAGCTTTAGCTCGAAACAGCCATGAGAGCTTATAGTAAAAAATCACTCGACCTTCGCTTGTATATTATATAGGGTGCGCGATACCTCTCCTGAAACAACATTGGTACCATGTTACACAAATAGTGATCTGAAGGTACTTGAAGATATGAAAGTAAGAACTCCAGTTTTAAAGAAACACAGGAACCGCACTAATATGTAGTGCCGGCTTTTTTCTTAGTTTTTTTTTTCTTATTTTTTATTATATTATGAGGAATATCTGGCTTCACCGTTAGAGGTAATTAAAATAGAGCTTTTTATTTTTGTTATTTATAAGTATACGATCTGAGATCCTAAGCGTATGGCTTCAAGCGTGGAGAAATAGCACAATTCATGAACCAACTGATAGAAATCGTAGTCTTCGACTAAATTTCCCTTATTGGAGAAACAAACAACTTATGTTGATTGTCTTAATTGAACACTATAGTGCATGACTTAATTGTTCTTGTAAAGATACGCGTTTTATCTGAATCACGCACGGGTAATGGCGTCTCTGTCGCCTGCTATATGAATGTGCTGTCCCGGCCTAGTTTATTTAAAAAAAAAACAGTGAAATTAGAAGCCGCGTCTTTTTTATGACCTAAAATTAACTCCACACCAATTGTGCAATGCGTTAAATAGTACTTGTATATATACACCTAGATAGAGGGACGTGCGACATAATGAGAGAAACATAATTAATATGTAGTTCGATATTTATTAAATGTAAAACAGAAAAAGCGAACGAATTAGTTCCCTGGTAGATTATATTCAGCTTACTGAATACGTGCTTGCTTTACTTGTCCATATTGGCCGAAGTTTACCAGGGAAAGGTACTCTAGCAAAACATGGAGCTGCCCTAGGATAACGTTTACATTTATATGAATTATCTATATAACGGCTTTACTATTTGAACCAACAGAAAGTCAAGCTTGTCTTAAACTGATTACAACCCATTACTGTATTCTCGTTCAATTTCTGATTTCGCCTTTGATGCCAATATAGATTAGAAGCCCTATAGAAAACAGCTGTGCGGTCTTGATACGGTCCACATAATAAAATTATTATAAGTTAAAATACTTTGGTAGCTCTGTTGGTAGTGGTGGTAGCGTCAGTGCCACGTAATTAGGTAGTACGCGACAGCCTTACCCTTTTGGCTCAAAACGATCGACTATCTATACGAAGGACAAGTAAGTGTGCGGAATATCTGTTAGTGTCGGCGAATAGCAAAAATGTGTTGCTTAATACCGGCGCGAATTGGTGGGATTATGGGAGATAATCGTTTATTGAGTTTTTCGTTTATTAAAATAATATCATAGACGTGCCAGACTCATGCCATAGAGACGTTTCACTCCGAAACTTCCATGTTTACACACTGTTTCAATTGACAATAAAAGACTATATTCATTTAAAGAACTAAAATTGGTAATAGAAGACAATGGAAACTCCTTACGTATCTGAAACCATGAAGGTCATGTTTGGACAACCATGAAAGATAAGTTGTTATATGGTTTTACCTTATGTCGTTGTTTTGACGTCTATCCACCGCAGGCCAATATATGACAATAAGGCAGTCGAATAAAATGAACAGCTGTACCTTTTATGTTGTATAAAACATAAAATTGCGCATTTTGTAAAGCATGGAAACTAGGCAGCAGGTTCTCACAAATATATTTGACTCATTCATACTGACGGGAAATTTTTATAGTGAATTCGTCCTGGTAAAAGAATGGGACATATGAAAGAGCGTCCTGCAGGACATAGCATGTCTACTTCAGATAGACCATATCAACGGAGGTACGTGTCGCTATATGTGCTAGATCTGGCTTAGATAATATACGTACAGTGGCAACGTAGCAAGTAGTATATGTGTACGAAGGTATCCGTGCTTGCTTGCATGCACAAGACAGCTATGCTACTTTATATATTGTCTGATGATTTCTCACAAAGTCTACAGGAAACCTTTCATGGAAATAGGTAATTTGCAAGTTGCTTTTTAGCTATAAATTCTGATAAAATATTGTGATGAAATACAATGGTTGTTTGTGTCAAACATGACCGTTTTCAACGTGGCGAGATGCCTGTTGATACGTCCGGACGTGGTCTGAGAATGTCTCAGAAATTAACAGAAGTCTGATCTCTTGCCTCTTTTTTTCATATTGGCATTTGAAGGCAGGGCGTTTTACTTGTACATTCTCAATTTCATTTATTTACAGTCGCTAGTATAGAAAACATTTCCTACGCTGTGGCTATGCATATTATTATTTATGACATCAAAGATTAGCCATAAAGTTACACCTTTGTGTCTCGGAATTTTAAATGTTGTGGGATTTGAAACTTTCCAATTGCGGAGCAGTGTTTGCAGTTGAGAACTTCTAAAAAGGGCAGTAGCGGTCCTGGAATGGCCGATCTGTGTTAATGGCCTAAGGATTGCTGCTTTAAGAATGTAACGATTGGCCTTAAATAGGTGCAACAGCACTACTCAACTAGGGAAATGTCAACAATAATTGTCAATGGCAACGTTTAAAGGTCAACGTGATTTATGTACGTTTGCTCTATTCAGCTTATGGAAACAGAGTTGGTCAGATAGCACTAAAAAGTTTTTTAATCAGATTGTAGTAAAATATCAAAGCCAATATATTATGAACGAGACGAATCTGGAGTTGAGCCTCCTGGCGAATATGTTATGGCGAACTGATGAATTAACTGCTGCAGGGTATCGGATTAGGCGGGGCTGGGCAGGGCAATTCCAACGGGATAACTGTTAATGGGTATTCAAACTATGGTTCTTTTTAGCCTAGGTCAGATTAATCAGATTATGTAAACAGAATCAAATTACGTAAACTAACGACAAAAAACATATGTATGGCAAACCCGCCAGTCCGTATGGTATGCACATATATTTACCATTCGTAACTCTATCGATCCATAATCCGAATATCCTCAGGGCCTTGAACAAGCCAGTGGTCATTTTTTTTTTTTATTGATTTTCCGACTAAGCTAAATATTTTCTTGTAAGAAAATAAGCGAGAATGATTGGCTGCTGTCTTTAAGCGGTTGAGTAGCTTCGTTCTAGTAATATCGGTGATGACAAAGCGAGCACTGTATCGTAGGCCGACCTTGGAATAGTTGCATGGTATAGTTCTGTAATAGGGACGTTGTGCGGAGATTTTTATTTTTTTAAGATCTGCCCCACAAGTACATGTTCCTGCAGTGAGAAGAAAATGCGAGAAATGCAGCGGGAAAGATATCTTGAAGGCTGCGTGGCTACGAGGTTGAGGTACGCGCACTTTACGCTAGTAAAGCTGAAGGAGACTTCAGAGTTGGGAAGTTCTGAGGCATTCCAGATTAAAAGTGGGTCAAGCAAAATATCCTCAGAGCGCATTTATCATATGTTCATGGTATAAGACGTGTTCTCAAGTACCTTAGGGAATATTCTATGGGTAATAGTTTTGCTCGTTTGTAGCGCGGAATAGTTAAACAATGCATGAAAGTACTTGGACCATCAGGAATGCATTTTTCTGTCTTCCTGGGTAGTTTTTTTAAA